ATGGCTAAACGCAATAAAATAAATATAAAGGCTTAAAAGCTTCAGAATCAAAAAATGAATTAAAAAGAATGAAGGCCAGGAAAATAAAAAAGGATAAAAGATTAGCACAAATATAACAAGAATAGGCAAGGCTGCCAGAAATTTTAGCAGCATAGGAAATTAATCAGTAAGGTCAAAAATAAGGTTTATTTAAGTTAAAAGTGGTTAAAGGACACTAGCTAAAAAATGAAAAGTAATCACTCATTAATAATTAAGGTACATAAAAAGCAGGAACATTTTAATATGACAAAAACTATTAAGACAAAACCTTAGAGGATAGTGACATTGACAAGGACATAATTCCCAGGCTTGAGGCAGGTCTCTGAGGGACTCTCACTTATGTGGAACCATCCTTTTCCCTCCTGTGGGGAGACGTCCTTCAGCAGCAGGGCACCCACCTCCCTCAGCAGGAAAATGAACCTGTGTTCGGAGAGCTTGCTGGGAGAGTCAGGGCTGGGGCCAGCCAGGACCATGACAGACACCCACAGTTTTGGGGCTGATAACTGGTGGTACTAAGGGAGCCTGGGGCATTTCTCCTCAGGCCCTTCCAAGGGGAAGCCAGCGATTGCCGGGGTAGGCACGGAGCCAGGTTTACTCACACCAGGTGAGCAGCCCAGCAGTGAAGGCATGGCCAGGTGGGGGCCAGAAAGGTCCTGGGGTGGGTCTCAGCCAGGGGTACTGCCTTCCTAAACCACACATGGCTCGGGGCCCTTAAGCAAGGCTTGCTATGCTCATGTTATGCCCACCCCTCCCATGTCTTGGTTACACTTTGAGAAAATGAAGGACCTGATTGTGTCCAGCACTAATTCAGCCCAAGCATCTGGGGAGGTAACATCTACCTTAGGATCAATGATACGATAATTCTAGAACAGTAACATTTATGCACCTCCCTCTGTAGTTTCCTCCCCTGCCTACACTCCCACAGATACTATTGCCAAAACCCATCTCCTCGCAGTTGGCAAGGGTCACCTCCCACCCTGAGGGAACTGGGCAAGATGATACCCTAGTATCTCACTGTGGCCAGCCACAGACGGGGCATGTGAAAACATCAAGTAATATGCCAGCATTGTGCTGTGTGCTGTTTCCATTGTTAGGTCTATTCACTCCACCCGTCCTTGTTTTTTTTCATTCACTGATAAGAAGAGGGGGCCTGAGTCACTTACCTAAGATCACAGAGCAGGTCAGTGCTGCTCTGGGGATTTGAGCCCAGGTGGTGGACTTGAGCCTATGTAGCAGTTGTTCCCTTCTGCCGCCTCCATGACAGACAGGGCACAACCATGAGAAAAGGAACAGGGGTTGGTGAGCTCTGTGGCCTGAGGGAGGGATGGGCTGAAGGGAAAGGCAGCTGAGGCAGGGTCCTTCCTGCCAGGCACGTCTGTATTCATTGGACACGCGGCGTGGTCATCCCAAACATGACATCTACACAAAATACAACACTCTTTGCACGGCATGCAGATCTGCCGTGTCACTGTCCCTCCTGCCCCCTTCTGCACAGTGCCTTTGCTCACACTGTTCCCTCTACCTGCAATGCCCATCTTCTGCCTGAGGTGCCCATCCTTCAATATCCTGCCAAATGCCACTTCTTTCTCTCTCTCCCAGCACTGACCTGGGCCCATCCTGCCTGTGGCCCATTTCCCAGCCCACTGCATGCTGGAAGCAGAACCCAGGATTCTGTGGCATGTTTGGTGGTGTGCATGTCCCCTGCCACAGTCAACTGGCTAGAGAGCCCACACTGAGCACCTGCTGTGTCTTGGGCGATGGGCCAAGCACCTTGTGTGCATTCACCCACTTAGCCCTTGGTACCAGTTCATCCTAGACACCCTTAGAACGAACCACTTTTTATCAATGTGGAACTTGGGGCTCAGCAGGAAGCCTCATAGTGGAGCCAGAGATCAAACCCAGCCTGGCATGATAGCCAAGCCTCTGGCCTTGTGTGTAGCCACTCTCCCATGCCAGGAAGCCTATCTTGTTTGTCTTTGTGCTCTGGACCAGGCACAGAATAAATGTTTACAGAATCAAATAGAATTGAAGATCTCAAGCAGTCTCCTGACATATTCATTCCGGGTGCCTGACTGTGACATTTGATCCTCAAAGTTTTCCCATGGTTGTAGTATTGATAATAACAATGGTGTATGCTGCATGTTTTGAGCAGTTGATGTACTAGGCTTTGGGCGCTCTGTGAGGAAGGTGCTAGTCTTGTCCCCATTTTATAGCTGAGGAAACTGAGGCACGGAGACGACATATCACCTAGTCTGGTTATTCAGCTTACCAGTCTGCTGCCAGTCAGGCTGACTCCAGAGCCCACACTTTTAACCTGTGCACTCATCACCCTCTGCCTGCCTTCCTGTACTGCCCTGAATTCTGGGCTTCCAGTCTCTGGTCCAGCCTCTCTAGTCACCTCCAGATTGACCCCCAGCCCTGACCTCTGAGAATGGGGGAGAGAGGGGTGATACTGAATTCCCTTGGCACCAGCCCCACTCAGCAGCAGTGCTCTCCCTTTGCTGTGACCCTTGAAGAGGAAATCCACTAGGCACTCATTTGTCCCAGCTGGTGTTTGTTCTTTCCCAGGTTAATAGCAGCAGATAGCACTGTTTTCCTAGGAAACCAGGCAAGGTTTGTCACTGGGAATGTGAGAAACACAGGCCATTGGGTTTTCCTTCACAAGAAATAGTGCTCTCAAGTAGAAATGTGGCATTCCAGCCTAGCCACACAGCCTAGTGCAGATCTCATTATGAGGGGGTAAAATAGCAGAAATGACCCTGGGAATGTAAGGGGAATGGAAGGCAGAAGTAACTTTGTCTTAGATAGAGGAGATGGGACGGCATCCTTAAAAGCAGAACATCTAGGGAGACACGAGGAGCGGCTTCTCACCAGATAGTAAAGTACATGGCTTTCTCCTAGATAAGAGAGACGAAGAAACATTCTTAAAAACAAACAGGGGCTTAGTAGACCCCCTCAGGGGAAGTAATATGGCAAATTTTCCCAAGATAGCAAAAGGAGAGTCTCACCAAAATAACAAGTGGTAGTCATAAAACGTATGTGACAGGTCCCATGGACAGGATGGACTAAGCAGACCCTCTTGGAATGTCCAGTCCAGTAAGGATGGTGTGGGGAGGGGGCAGCCAGATGGTCAGGTTCAACGAGAAGTTGATTAGACAGCTAACTATAGATGGAACTTCATAGTAGAGTAGGGGTGCCTAAGTCAGGCAGAGCCCTATATTAACCCCTTAGACTTTAGCTATTTGGCTTAGCTCTTTCACCCGGCAGGATGCTTTGCTATCCTTTCAATAAACTTTGTGCTTGTTTTACTCTTAAATCCTTGTCTGACATCTTCAATCATCAACTATGCCAGGACACAAACTCAAGAACAGGAATCCAGTAACACTGCAGTATCAACATGGCATCAGAACCTCAAGTTCCCCTTCTTAAAATGGAAATAACTTATGCAAGACCACGTAATAAGTGAGGGAAAAAGATTTCAAAAATAAACACCTGCCTGAATTCTGACAGCGGGTGCTCAGTGAGGAGTCACCCTCCTTTCCCAGTCCCCAGCAATCTAAATGCCCCCCATCCCTGCCCTTATCTTTGACACTAAAGGGGTGTGTGATTCTTGTGTAAAGTACCAACCTCAGCAGGCCATGTCCTAAAACCTGAGCACCCTTGTGCTCACAAGCTTGTGAGGCTATCTGGCTGGTTGTGTTTCTCCAGGCCTTTGTTCCTGGAAAGAAAGCCAGAGGCCAGCATTGCCATTCCAATCACCAGGTCCTCCGGGTACTTGCTGGTCTGCAGGTGCAGCTCAGGTAGAGGGATGGACCCCCAGGGCCTCCTGCATGCCAGATGAGCACTCTTACCCTGAGTCGCACTCCTAGCCTTGAGAACTTGAAATCCTGGTAAAACTCTGGAGACTGTGGCAGAGGTACAAAGGCTGGTGAAACTACTTCCAGAGGTCACTTGGAAGCAGGAAGCCAAGACCACTCTGTCCATCCCTTGTCCTATCATACCGTGTTCCCGTAGCCTCAGCATGCCCACACTGTGGCCAGCCCTGTTTCACAGCAAGACGGTGTCAGCTGCCTCCAACCTCTGTGGGCATCGCTTCGCCTCCCACATTGTTGTGGACCTCGGTATATCTTAGCTTTCTGTGTGGTGACCTTCCCCTGCTGGGGTGACTTTGTCCTGTCAGCTGTTGGGAGCCTAGGCAAGTGACCCGCCTGTGTCAGGTTCTTCACTTGTAAAATACCTTCTAATCATTAGCGACAAATGAGTTAGCCATGCTGAGTATCTAGGCCGATTGATCGTCCCCTACTGTTTTCTTCTGTATCTGTTGGGGCAAGTATGTAGCTTTCCTGTACCATTTCAGAATTTTGGAGGTTGTGACACAGGCTCAGGCTGATTACCTGCTGGCAGGTGCTGGCCCAGAGACCAGGGTGGGGGGACTTATTGATGTTCCACATGCCACTCGTTGAGTGCTGTCGTGCATGGTCAGTCTTTTAGAAGTCTTTTCCTGCTCTGGAATCACCATCACAGCCTTTCCAAATGCTCTAGAGGGACTGGAGCACTGGTTCATGCTGATGCCATGCCCATGTGGCAGTGGGTGTCGCTTAAAGGGAGATGTTTTGCATTCCTTCAGAGAATCTTGCCTGCCTGGCTCCTGAGGAGAGCACCAAGGGATAGGCGCATGTCTGGACCTGCTCTCTAGCAGGAAAGGGCCACTATTTAACAGGTCTGGCAGAGCACCTCACTCCTGTAATTTGCATTTCTTTGTTCATTATTTCTGTTCACAAAAAGTACTTTGATAGAGTAAATTTTCTGGTGGTGTGCCCTAAGACATGCACTTTTAAACTTCCCAAATGCACCGATGAGGTGTCCTTTCTGGGGATCTCTATCTGTGGGCATCTCCTGGGGCCCCTCACGCCCCACACAGGCACCATTTCTGCTCACTGGAAACATGCTTGTGTTCCCAGGAACGGACGTCATGGTTCGGTGCCTCAGACTGCTGAAGGAGTTTAAGCGGAAGATGGATGATGACCATGATGATGACGATGACGAGGAGGTCATCTCCAAGGGAGTGCCCCCAGTGGACATTGTGTTTGAGCGGGACATGCTTACACAGACCTACGAGCTCAGTGAGTCCTACTCCCACACTGACCTGGACCCAGGTCCTAAGCACTGGGGTAGAGAACTGCTTGCCTACGTAAGGAAGCAAGGCTCTGCTGTTGAAGGCAGTGCATCACAGGCAGCATGCCTTCCTGAACAGGCTTCAGTTTTGAGATCAGGTACCAGATTGAAGCTGTAGCTGCCTCACTGTATGACTTGAACAACGTCCCTGATCCTCAGATCCTCTTCTGTAAAGCGAGGAACATTCGTCAGGGTTCTCAGAGAGATGAAATCAGTAGGTACTTGTAAGGGAGGTCTATGAGAAAGATGAATAGAGGAACGGACTCGTGTTGTGGAGGCTAAGGGGATCCCACCACAGCTGGCACAAGCTGGATACCCAGGGAAGCCATTGCACAATTCCTGTGGGCCAGAGGCCAGAGATGGAGAAGGGTGTCCCAGTCCAAGAGAGAGAAGGTGAAGTCACCTTTGTTCTCTCTAGGCCCCAGAGAACAGGGCAGCCCTGTCACAGGCAGCTCACTGACTCACTGACCAGTATCCTCCCAACACAGCCAAGCAGACACATCCAGAAACAGTGCTTAACCATTTATCTAGGTATTTCTTAATCCAGCCAAGGTTATATCTAACATTAACCATGACACAGAGATGATAGCCACACTAGCATGTTATAAGCATAAATGATGTAGCATCAAAAGAACAGTGCCTGATACATAGAAAGCACTCAAAAAAAATAGCTATTTGTCTTTGTCTGTTTTCTGGCACTATAACAAAGTACCCAGGACTCAGAAATATATAAAGAGTTTATTTTGAGTTGTAGTTCTAGACAAAGAAGTTTAGATGTGAGTGCTGGCATCAGCTTCAGGATGGGGCATTGTGCTGCTCCATGCAGGAAAGAGACAACAGGAAAAGTAGCGTTGCTTGTAGAACAACACAGTCTGCTCTTGCAGCAGCCAACCTAGTCCCCTAGAACAAGACCTCTCTTTGGCGAGATGGCACTCACTGATTCGTGAGGGCTCTACCCATATCCTAAACACCTCCCAGCAGCTCTGCATCTAGAAGTCAAGCCCCATCATGAGTATCAGTGGGAGTGAACTGGATTCAAGCAACAGCACTGGTAGCATCATGACTCGGGTCCAGGAGCCAGGGCTGCCTTTGGACAGTGTTCTGAAGTTGCCAGTCTGGGACTTCAGTGGTGGAGGAACAAAAAAATGCCTCTCCAACTCCTCACCTGTCGCCAAGGTCCCTGAGGGGAGGAGGACAGAGCAGGTGAGAAGCCTTTCTGGAGAGCTGCCTAGCAGCTCCTGTATGGCTTAGAAGGGGTCCTCAGAATGGTGTGGACACAGCTACCCTTAGCCCGTCCATCCCCCTTTCAGCTACTAGTCCCCCAGACATCCCTTTTGTTCTGATGTGGATTTTCATCCATGCGCAGCATGCCAAGGCCTCCTTTATCCTGATGGATTGATTGATTTTTCCTGGCATCCTCACAAGTGTGGACCTGTGTGGAAACCCATCTGAGCAGCCAGAGAGCTTTGTGCCTGTCTGCCCTGAGCTCATGCTCTTTACTTTGAGCCTCCCAGTTGCCAGCTGGGCTCTGCTAGATTTCATAATGCCAGATTAGGAGAGTAAACTTAAAGGGGTTCCTTAGATGCATATATGGTAACAATACTGAGAAAGCACAGCTGGCAGCGAAGCTGATGGGCCACACAGGGCAGACCACTGGGCGAGGTGTCTGCTTGTCCTTTGCTGTAAGCTAACTGGCATTTCCTCCCCTCATCCCTGCTGCATGACTGTTATAGGGAGTGCAGTAGTTGGTGTCCATAGTGCCTCTGTGTCTACTGAAAAGATCAGAAATGTGAAAAATGCACATTTAAAAGTTCTCAGGAGCCAGGTAGGCCGGTGCAGCCTGTAATCCCAGCACTTGGGAGGCTGAGGCAGGAGGATTGCAAGTTCCAGGCCAGCCTGGGCTACATAGCAGGACTCTCCCTCAAAACAACAGCAGCAGAGTTCTCATCTAAAAATGATTTTGATGCTTTCAAAAAGTGTCACGTTCATGTATCTGCAAAAGCTCACTCATGTGACAGGGCTGATGTCCTGCTGCTGAGTACAAACAATGTCCACAGAACAGCCATTGATGGCTTTGCCCCTAATGTTAGCGTGGAGCAGTCAGATAGCCAGCATGCCAGAGAAACATGCTGCAGTGTTCTTACCAGACAGAGTCTGGGGAGGGGGTGATTGTGCAGCAGCTGGGCAGAGCAGCCCCTGGGCAGTGTGCTCAGGTGAGGCATATTGTTTTTCAGTCGAGCGCAGAGGCACGAAAGGAATCTCCCAAGCTGAAATCCGAGTGGCTATGAACGTGGGAAAACTGGAGGCGAGAATGCTGTGTCGGCTTCTTCAGAGGTTCAAAGTTGTCAAGGTAACGTCCTGACTCAGCCCCTCAGTGCCTTGTCTTCGGATGGACACACGGTGTGGATTACAAAGCAGGGGCTCGGGTCAGAGAAGCAGCTCAGGGGCCCTCTGTGTCCAGGAGGCAAGTGACTGGCTGCCTGAGGTGCATGCGACCCACAGCAGGTTGTCCCCCTCTGTGAGGCTCTTGTTTGTTTTCACTTTTTAAAAATTTAAGATGTTCTGTGCACTGGAAAGTCAGAAGGTGATGCAGCTGCCAGGGAGCAGCTTACTCCTGTGCAAGAGCAGTCACCTGGAGTTTACCAGGTCTGTTCCCTGGCCCTCCCTGTCATTTATGTGACTTGCCTGGCACCTGGGGACATCAAGTCAGCTAACTGTAGCTGGTGCTCCCTTTTTGTGAATGAGGCCTGCCATCTCAGCCGTTGATGCTTGCAATAACCAGCTTTCCATGACTGTCATGAACTGCCTGAGACAAGTAAATTACAGAGAAAAGGTTTATTTTGGCCCATGATTTTCAAAGTTCCCGTCCCAGATCCAGTGTCCCCCTTGCTTTGGGCCTTTGGTGAGGCCCATCATAGAGGAAGCACTTGGCAGAGCAAGCTTCCATCATGAGAAAGGAGAGGGGATGACTGGGGTCCCACCAGCACACCCCAATAATCTCACAGCCTCCCACTAGTCCCCACCTCCTGAGAGTGCTGCCACCACCGTAGGGACCAAGTCTGTCTTTAACCTGGAGAGCGCCCACCCAAACCATAGCAATTCCTCCCTTTCTCGGAGCCCACTTTTTGGACATTTAGTTGGAAGGCAAGATTATATTTGAGCTAATGACAGCAGGTCGTTAGCACTTGCCCTCGCACATAACTCTTTCTCTCTTTAGGGGCCCTGGGAAAAGCCCCTTTCCCAGTTTTAGAAGTTGAAATAGGCATGCACTGTGATGACTAGGTCACCAGTCCCCATGGCAGTGGTCAAGTGGAGCTGGTGCCTCACGGGCCCCTCCACAATGGATAGCAGTCCTGAATTTGGACAGATACTCATTGCTTCCCGACTGTTGGGGACTAAGCCTGGAGGTAGGCACGGAGGCTGCATGGAAGACCAAGTTAGGGCCCTTTCCTCTGAAGACCTTGCAGCTTTGGAGCAGAGAAAAGCATCCCTGGCAGGCCAGAGGAAGACCTGAGGGACGATGGGGCCACGAAGGGCCAGGCTGTGAGAAGGGAGCCACCAGGGGAAGCCAGAGTTAGGAACCACATGGCACAGACTCGGGTCATCTGCACGGCTGCAGCCTAACGCCCTCTTAAGTGTGCTCACCACATCTGATCTCCCCAGGGGTTCATGGAAGATGAAGGTCGGCAACGGACCACCAAGTACATCACCTGTGCATTTGCAGAGGAAAGCGACCTGAGCCGGCAGTACGCTCGGGAAAAAGCCCGGGGAGAGCTGCTGACCACAGTGAGCCTTGCCTCAGTGCCAGAGGAGTCCCTGCTCCCCGAAGGAGAAGACACCTTCCTCTCTGAGTCGGATAGCGAGGAGGAGAGCGGTGGTGGCAAGCGCAGGGGCCGAGCACCAGGGCACATGAGGTCCTCTGTGGACTTGGGCTCCAGCACTCAACCTCATCACTCCACCCCAGCCAAGGGTAGGTACCACTTCGGGTGCTGGTGCTGTGCACCTTGGTACTGCTGGGTGTGTTTGGGAGGCAGCTGCTCAGCTCAGCTGACCCTGCACCCCTGGGTGCTGGCCTGAATTGGAGCCCAGTGTGTCAGTTGTATGCCAGTCATCACTTTGGGGGATTTGGTCATGTGGGCTGTCTCCTGGCTGCTGGCAAGGCTGCCACCTTGGCAAATGTTTTATTACAGTATCACTATTAAAGGATGGAATCCCTCATAAGCTTTTCCTGTCCGCTTCTCTCCAACAATCTGTTCAGGAATCCCTCTGGCTTTTAGTTTAATTGTAGAATACTTTTTTAAAAAATACAAGTAGGGGCTCACACGTGTAATCCTAGTTACCAGGGAGGCTGAAATGGGGAGAATCAAGGTTCAAGGCCAGGCTAGCAAAACGTTCAAGAGACCCCATCTCAACCAATGGCTGGGTGTGGTATTACACACCTGTCTTCCCAGCCAGGGAAACACAAATAAGATTGCAATCCAGGTCAGCCTGGGAATAAAGTTAGACGTATCTTAAAAATAACCAATGTAGGACATTCTTGTTCTCTCTCAAGTTGACCCACTTTCAGTGTATTGAAAGTGTATTTCTTAAAACAAAGGAAGGAGGGAGGCAGGGAGGGAAGAAGAAAAAAGAAAAAGTGTATTGCTTTCCTAATAAGCTTTACTATCACTTTGACTAAAAAGAGAACCAATGTAGAAAAGGCTGAGGGCATGGCTCAAGCTTCATGCCTAGCAAGCATGAAGCCCTGAGTAAACTCCAGTGCTGACAAAAAGAAAGAAAGAAAATGCATGGAGGGTTAGTGCAGGTGGCAGTTCTGTAAATCTGTCTAGCCTTGCTGAGTGGCATGCTGGTCCTTGTGCCCAGTCTGAAGTGATCTGAGCCGAGCCTGTGTGGCTCCTGCTGGCTGTCAAGCATGGGAGCTCTGCTTGCCATCTTCTTGGTTTGTCCCACTCTACCCGTTTCGTAGGTGCATGGAAAGTCCTAAACCTCCACCCGTTGAAGGCTCAGTCATCTTCCTCTCTGGGAGCGGCCGAGGAGAAGGGCCGCCGGAGCTCTGGAGACCGAGACAGCCTCCTGGACACCAGCGGCTCCTCGGACCTGGTGTCCTTTGACCCTCATTGTGTGGAGAGTAGCAGCGGGGACATTGCTGTGATTGAGGAGGTCCGGTTGGAAAACCCCAAGGTCAGTGGTTTGGGGGAGGGCATCATCCCCAAGAAGGAGCCTGTGGCAGGTAGATGCCAGCCAGCTCCTGTCTGTGTAGTAGTCAGTGGTAGTAAGAGGCCTCAGGCCCGCCTGCCTGCTCTGTGCTGGGTGGTGGTCAGGAGCTCCTGGGGAATGAGGCGCCACTCATCCTCAATCTTCCTCTACACTGCTGGTGCCCTGTGCAGAAACCAGTGCCATGTCCTCACGTGTGCACCTTTTACAGTACATTTGTATGGCTCATTTAGATTGCTGGTACCCCTGTCCCCGGAGGATATCTGGCAACATGACATCTGGACATGGTTTAGGTTGTCACACATAGGGAGAGGGAGGTTGTCTACTAGCATCAAGGGTGTACAGGCTAGGATGCTGTTGGTGGATATTACTTTGGTTGTTTGAGCCTGGATCAATCCCCCCTCCCCCATTTAACTCCCAGGTTGACCTGGAACTCCTGGGCTTAACTGATCCTCCTCCCTCAGACTCCCAAGTAGTTGGGACTGTAGGTGTGCACCACTGTGCCTTGCTCTACTCCACTCCCCCACCCCCCATGCTGGTGATGGAACCCGGGGCCAGAGCCTCACAGATGGTAGGCAAATGCTCTGCCACCGAGCAATACCCCCGGGATGCTGTTAGACATTCTTACAGCAGTGACTTATCTGGCTTAGAATGTCAGCACTGCCAAGGTTGAGAAACCAGCTTTAAATGCAAGGCCAGTGTCATTTGCCATAAAAGAGATTAAGAACACAGTTCATTCTGGCTGAATACTATCTTATGTCAAGCATTAAAGAGGCTGTAGGATCAAGCCAGTACTTTCCATCAGTGTGACTCAGAGGATCGAAAGTCGGATAGAACAGGAAAGGCTGTCGTGTAGGATTCAGTTTCCCTCATGCCACATCCCTCATCACTGAAGATATCCCAGATACTGCCAGCACTTTAGAAGCACAGAATAGAGGACTTACACCTAACACAGAGCAGACCTGTACCAGGGCAGCTTTTGGTACAGTGGCTGCTGTTTTGTGCAGGCTTCATAGACCTATCAGGAATTTGGGCTCTGGTCTGTCAGGAGGACAGCCAGGCTCTAGGGAGTGGACAGCAGTGCGGATGAGAGCCTGTAGAGGTAGAGTCCTATCTTGCCTCTCTTCTTCCGGACCGGGGACCTTGTGCCTTGGTCATGTCCCTGTAGCAGAAATGATGGGCATGGGATAGATGTTTCTAGACTCTTTCAGCTCTTTCCTGTCCATTGACTGCTTTCACACTTGGTTCAGTCATGCCTGATAATATTCCCATCTGAGGAATCTGGGCCTGTTAGCAGGGGACCCAAAGGGCTCTGAGGATTTTACCTGCCTCCCCACACATCTCATCAGGTCCTGTGACCCAGCTCATGCTCTCTCCAGGCCACAGAGTTCCCAATACTCTTTCCTAGCTCAGATCTTTCTGATAGAAACCCACTCCCAGTCACCATAGCCTTGTAACTTTCTTTACATGTCTGAGAACAGTAGTGTCCACTACTTCTTGGAGGCTCTTGACAGAACACATCACTCTTTGCTCTCCAACAACGAGTTACAGAGTTTTCCTCCAAAGTCTTCTCTCTGAAATGCAGCAGAGCATAGGGCTCTTTCCAGCATCTTTGACTCTTTCCCCCTTTGGTCTTTTTCCTTAGTGAAAGAACCACACCTATCTAGAGTGCAAGCTGAGCTTATCAGCACCCCAGCATAGACCAGCAACCTCCTAGAGCAAGGTCTCTTTTGCTGAAAGTGCTGCTCCAAGGGAAGGGAGGGGTGGAAGGAGTCAGCCAACAAAATGTGCCTAGGGCTATGCAAGGCTAGCTTGTGCCGGTGATTTGCAAGAGTCCCTTAGAATTGGGCTTTGCTTTCCACTCAGGCTTCACATTGGGCTTGAGCACGTTTTGATCCAAGGGCACATGGTACAATTCCACGTTAAGCTCCGAGAACATGGAAAGGAGACATGAAGAGTGAAGTGGTTCTTTGGGCAGGGATCAGCAGGGAAGCACTGACTACTACTGTCTTTCACTCACCCACCATCCTTGTGCACCCAGGGAAGCCTGGCTGAACCACAAACCCAGTGCTAGTCTCTGTCCCTGTCCTATGTGACCCTAGCCAGCTTCTTGGGGTCTAGAGCTCGGGTTTCCCCTCTGTGAGATGAGAGCAGTCGTAAGAACAGTACTGAGCACTTTGTTGTTACTGGGTTTTTGTTTTATTTTTGGCAGTACTGGGGATTGAACTCAGGGCCTTACGCTTACTAGGCACTCTACCACTTGTGCCATTCCACCAGCCTTGTTATTTTGCAGTACTGGGGTTTGTACTATGTGTCTCACACTTGCTAGGCAGGTGCTGTACCACTTGAGGCACACCTCCAGCCCTTTTTGCTTTAGTTATTTTTTGAATAGGCTCTTGCATTTATGCCTGGCTGGGCTGGACTGTGATCCTCTGATTTATGCTTCCTGTGTAGCTATGATGACAGGCACATGCCACCATGCCCAGCTTTTATTGATTGAGATATGGGTCAAACTGCAATCCTCCCATTCATTCTCTGCCTCCCAAAGGAAGTGTAGGTCTCTTCCATCCCACTTGGAAGTGGGACTGCTGTTGGGAGGCACTGCCATAGGAGGCACCTCTCGAGTCCTGTTCTGAAACCTGCTGACCTTGAAATCACCCAGGACCCTCTGCTGGCAGGTGCTTGCTACTTCAGAGCCCTGAAAGAGAACATGGAGGAGTGATCCTTCTTAGGGCAGCCGACTGCTGGGTTTGCTTCTTGAACCCCCCGCCCCTCCAGAGGAGAGCGTGCCTCTCGGGCATGGTGTTGCCAAGCCTTGCTGAGCCCTTGTCTTGCGCCTGGTTCCTCCAGGAGAGCAGCGGTTCCCAGAAGGCTGGGAAGCATGGCCAAGGCCAGGACAAGCCTCACAAAACCTACCGCCTACTGAAGCGCAGAAATCTGATCATAGAAGCCGTCACCAACCTCCGCCTGATTGAGAGCCTGTTCACGTAAGCTTGCTCACATCTGCCCTGTGTCCCCCTCACTGTTGCTCTCCCATGGGCTCGCTATCACCAGCCACAGAAAGGATGGAAGGCTTGGCGTCTCTGTCCCCCCGTATGCATTCTTGTGCTGTCCCTTTGTGGGAGGAAGGATTTAGAAATGTTGTTATCATCAAAAGGATTGACATTAAGGAGTATCAGTGTGCTAGACAGAATGATTGAGAAGAAACAGAGTCACAAGAAGCGTGCATTTGCCTTTCTCCTTGCCTACATGTGTTAGTTAACTTTTGCCTAGCTGTGACGAAAATACCTGAAAACAACTTAGAGGAGGAAAGATTTATTTTGGCACAAAGTTTCAGAGAGTTCAGTCCAAGGTCACTTGGCCCCATGCACTTGGGCAGAACATATACACAAAGGGGTTTTGAAGAAGCCAGTAAATGTCAGAGCCAGTAGCTGAACATAGGACATCTGGATACAAAGTCCACATTAGTGGCTGCTGAGCCACTCCATCTTACTCATGCAGGTTAAGCTCATTTTCTAGGGGATTACCTGGATCTGCTGTCCCTGCAATTACAAACCCCACTGCATCGGAAACAGCTCATAGGTTTGCTTTAGCCTTAGCATGAGGTTTGCTTACAAGTGATGGTGGCTGTTAGAAACAGAAGCTTTTTGCTTTCATGAACAAGTGCAAGTAGGTGTCCAGGGCCAGCCTGTCACTCTGGGGTGACATTTTGTATTTCTGCATCTGGAAAGACAGGTATGCTGGGGTATGGGGCATACCTGTTTCAGCCAAGTACCATGATTATTTGAGATTTTTGTCACTAGAAGTAGTGGTTCCATGTGACTTTTACTTCACCATCACGAGTGGAGCAGGAGGCTGCTTATTTCATGGCCAACAGGAAGTGGCAAAGAAGGGACTGGGGACCAAGTATAGCCTTCAAAGGCACGTACCCAGTGACCCACTTCCTCCAGCTTGGCCCCACCTCCTAAAGTTTCCAGAACCTCCCAAAATAGCACCACTGGCAGGGGACCAAACATTCAACATGTGAGCCTGTGGAGGACATTTCATACTCAAACCATAACGCAGGGGACTTCCTGCAAAATATGGGGATAAAGAAACTTGGGCAGATAATGGTGCTCCTTCTAAACCAAACCTTCTGTTCTCACAAAAGCTTTTATGGAAGGAAAAATGAAAGAACATGCAAACATCTGTGCTTAAGATAAAGGAGAGGCTGTGAGCGCTGGTCTGGTCCTTGTATTCTCCAACTGCCCCCATTCCCTAGGTGGCCACCTTCAGAGTGCACACTGTATAGCCACCGTGAGGAGAGATGCAGCCTTGTCTGCAGTCGGGGACATCGGTTCTACACTCCATCTCTGTCTGGGGCTGGGTTGGGGGCAGGAGCCATGTGCGGATTCTGTGCCTTGGGGATTGGCCTAGGTGTTCCTGATGCTGTTTCATGATTGGTGGTCTAGAAATGTCACCACATTGACTCAGTAAGATATAGAGAGTGAGAGGTATCAAGAGAGGACTCGAACAGAGGTTGAGATTGAGGGGATAGCAATGACCTTGGGCATTCTTAGCTGGCTGTTCAGTAAGACATGGTGAAGACACATTTCCATCATTGTGCTTGTTTCCCTTCTGTCATCACAAATCTTGGTTTGCTGGTGAGAGGCTCAGCATGTGTTGTTGCTGTGGATGGCAGCTTGTTTTCTACTAGCTCACTTAGCCTAGAGAGAGATGATATTCAAGAAGTCAACTTATCCAGACTATGGGAAAAATCCCCTGTAATTCTTCCCTGGTTTCCATTGGATTCCATTCATTGTCTCCCTGGCCTATGCTGAGAGAGGCCTTCCATGTGGAGATGGGCAAGGAAACTGCTTATTTTGTGATGTTATAGGATTCAGAAGATGATCATGGATCAGGAGAAACAAGAGGGTGTGCCCACCAAATGCTGTAAGAAGTCCATTGTCCGCCTGGTACGGAACCTATCTGAAGAAGGTCTCCTGAGACTGTTTCGGACTACAGTCATTCAAGATGGCATCAAAAAGAAGGTAACTGTGCCCCCAGAGCCAGCTCGGTGTTGTGGAAGCTTTCTTGTCTTGCTCCTGTTGTCACTGTTGGATTTTGGCTGCTCTTTTACTGTCAGCACTCAAGTGTGCCATCTGTTACACCTCCTAGTTTGGGAAGCAGGGGTTACCCTGCTTTACATAGAAGCTGGGAACAAGAAGGATCTTAAGGCAGTGAGTCAGCCAGGACTATGGCCAGCCTGGACAGAGAGGAAGGGAAGTGAGGCCCGTAGGGGTTCAGCAGAGCAGAGTTGGGAGAAAGTAGCTAGCATGAAGAAAGTGGGATGTTCAGACCATCACAGGAACGTTCCCTACATTGTGGGAGGAAACGCTTCCCAGAGGACACTGCATCAGGGTGCTCTGGTGGGTTTTCCAGTGGGGAGCAGCCTGTCTTTTCTGTCTTGGTTTATCCTGTTTATCCCCTTAACAACTGTAGCTCAGCAGCCTTGCACACAGCCTAGGGCATAAAGTTTGCAGGGTCAGCGTGATCTGTGAATGTTCAGCAGGCACTGGAGCCAAAGGGAGTGGGGCGTGGGGACAGTCACTTTTAATTTTCTCACCTTTTTTCCTGCTACATTTCCATTTCTGTCCTGAGAAAGCTCTGCTTTGATACCTGTTTCTGTAAAGGCAGGAAGGTCATTTCTGCTTTTCTGTGTTATTTTATTTTTTGAAAAATTTGGAAAATATAAAGCATTCCAAAATATGACTTAAACCCAGGGCTTGCTGTTGTACCATGACAGTGCCGTCAGCTTTTATCTGCCATAGTGTTCAAAATTAAAGTCAAGTCCCTTCCCCGTGCCCTCCCTCACCAGCCAGTCTGCCCCTTGTCCCCTTGCACAGTGGCTTTTGGTCCCTGTGCTGACCTCTCACTGAAGGTCAGCGACAGCCCCACCACCAGCATCAGCATCTCAAGTTACGTTGATCTTCAAGGAGCTGCTTTTTTGGACTTGCCTCCTCAATGTAGCAATCACAGGGCAAAGAGATTCTGACCTCCGTGGGGAACTGAGATGGATTACTGCGTCTCTAGCTTCCTCTTGGGTGCTGGGCTAGAGGGCACAAGCAAGGGTCTGGGAAGTCGGATCCACATCGGGGTCATGTAACCCAGATGTGAACATGCCAGCAATGGAGGACTCCAGCTGCAGGCAGTACCACTGTGGCCTGTGTTTCCCACTGCTAGGGGCTGCAGTGTCACATGTGTACCTCTAGACCAGGTTGGGAGTTTAGAGTTGAGGTACTTTCTTGACTTCTGTGGCACTGAGGCCATGCTACTAGCAGGTGGATTTTCTATTCTGCTGGAACCCACATCAGCTTTTGCTTTGCTCCAGCATCCTGCCCTGACCATTAGGCATTTAGAAAGTCTCCTTGGCCAGGAAACTGGGAGGTTCGAAGGCTGCTGCTTGTACTGTGTCTTCAGCTTGCTGATAAGTCACCTAACCATACCTCAAAGAAGGTAGCAGTGCACACAAATGAGGAGTGGGAGAGGCTGGACCATGGATGGCCTGTTAGAGTCCCCTTTCAGGTGCTCTTGTGTATTCTTTGCCCCTACAGAGCTGCTGACCTGGCGCAACATTGTCCCAAAACCCTTCTTTCTTCTCTCCTGCCAGTGATAGAGAAACTAAGAAGGCTGGCTCTCCAATGCCCAGGCCATTGTGCTTTGTCACCCATACCATCTGCTCCCCCTCTCTGCTGGCAGTGCAGTTAGTTCCCTGCCACCCACTCTCTGTTTGCATCCCCATAACTCAGGAGACAGTGGACACCTTAATGGTTCATCCTGATTCCTGGGAAGAGGGAAAACCAGAAGCAGCCCTGCCTCCTCAGCTGGTTTGTTGGGAGGTGCTCCTGAGAGGAGCCCCAGTGACACTCAGCTGCAAAGCTCAGTGACACATGCTTCCCTTTCTGATGGAGGCCTTGGGACTCATGGGCATGGGCAGAGTGAGGACACACAACTCAGCAGAGTGGCCATTAGGCACAGCCCCAGGCATCAGGGAAGCCCCATAGGCTGTGGCAGTTCAGCCAGGGCACTACAGCTAGATAGCTGTGTCCATGCCTTGGTTGCAGGAGTGCTTTTGACACCAGCAGCTGTGACAGCAAACTCTGGCACACATTTGCTTCTCTCGCTCTGAATTATGTGTTGGAAGTGTCATGAACACAGAGTGGACCCTGTGCTGAGAGACCTGCTGTGGCACTGAGGTTTCCTCAGCTCTGCCCTCTCTCTGCAGGTGGATCTGGTCGTGCACCCATCCATGGACCAGAATGACCCTCTGGTCAGAAGTGCCATTGAGCAGGTCCGCTTCCGAATTTCCAACTCAAGCACAGCAAACAGGTGAGTGCAGCACTGGCCCTGGTGTTCAGCCTGCAGCTGCTTTCACTGAGCCCTTGTGCGGATGCTCAGGATTAAATTGTGTGGCTGATCCCGAGTCTAAATGAGGATCAGCTTATGAAGTGGCTCATGTTCTTAATTCTAGGGTAGCTGACAGAGTGCGTTCATAGCAGTACCGATCCTGGGCCTCTGGTGCATTGGTGCTGTCTCCTCGTGGTGCAAAGTGATCCCCCTTACCTTCCTGAGCTCACGAGCATCCTTATGGGTTGAGACAAAACCCGGGCATGGGAGAAATTCTCTGCAGATCTAACTGCTCTGGCTGCAGACTTGGATTTGTGGGGTCTGCCATGTCCTAGCCACATTGACTATGAACCAATTACTGATGTTCCTGGTTGTTGGCACATATGAGAGTGGCCAGGGGCCTTGCAGGCATGCATGTGTTCTCAGGGACCCCCACATCTTAGCATCACTGCCCCAGCCCATGAGTAGTTGAATTTGAAACCCCCAGGCCCAGCACCTTGGTCTAATCTCTGCAGACAGACCCATCTCTCTTCCCAACCCTTGGGTTTCTCAGCCTGTGACCACATTTTGTGTTTGACCACAGGGTGAAGGCCCCTCATCCTCCAGCGCCCCAAGAAGAGGCCGAAGAAGAAAATCAGGAGCCAGAGGGCCCAAGTGGTCCAAAAGAGTCCGAGCCTGCAGCTCCCTCCAAGCCAGAGAGTGGGCGGATGAAAAAGACTGATGAGAAAATGGGTGTGACCCCACTTAAAAATTACAAGCCTATTGTAGGTAAAAAGTGACTTCTTGTCCCTGGTATTTCCTTTGTCATATGCCCAATGGCATATGTGTCACTTGGTGTTCTACATTTACCTCTGGGCTGCCAACAGGTGAGTCAGGTCTGATTTACTGGCTGGGTCCTGTGGGTCTGATTACATACCCTCTGCTGGCCTGTGTTTCCCTGTCTGCAATGTGGGCAGTTTGTGCCCAGAATACCTCAGCAGGCTGGGTAAAAGGGTGCTGGACCCCTGCCTGAGAAACTAGTGCCCAGGATGAATTTCTTCTGCTCAGAGTCCTTGGGCTGAGACATTCTATAAGTCACAGAAAAGCCCATGTTGTGGAGCTCTCTGTGGTTTTCCTGGACTTGGGGCTCTAACAGGGTGGCCTCCTCCCCCTTCCCTACCAAGCTGATCCAAGTTAAACTTCTGCCAAGCAGGTGCAGGTGCCTGGGGCCCTGTAGTCAGGGTGCTGGTGGGGGAAGAGGGCAGACTTGATTTTCCAGGATACCAACTACCACCAAGCAGCATCTGGCAGGGGACCCAGAGGACCTGGGACTCCAAGCTGACTAGGTGGTTTAGGTGACTTCCCTTTCTAAGGGTGTCCATCGCACGGTGGCCTTCACTCTCATTGTTTCCCAGCTAGAGAGCATAGTTAGAGCAAATCCCAAAAGCACAGCTGCACAGCACTTGTTCTGGGTGAATGGAAGACAGTGATCCATCTGTGTCTGCACCTGTCCCACACCTGACCTCTGTCAGCTGGGAAAGTCAGGGAGCCATCTGTTCATGTTGGTAAAGAAGTGAGCTGCTTTGAAGAACTGAGATTCTGCAATACTTGGCATAGTCCCATCAACCCAAAAGTCCTTCTCTGGTAGCCCTCTGTGGTGGCTGCCTTTTCCATCACACTCAGCCTCCTGTCCTGCACTTTCCACCATCCTCTGGCCTCCTGTCCTGCCTTTATAAGGGCCAGGCACACACAAACTGAGACACCTGGCACTTGTTGGGGTATGTCCCCAGGTCTCTCTCCAAGGAGGCCTATCCTGACTTTTCTATAAGACTCCAGCCTCCTCTTATCCCCTCCTTACTTTCTGTACCAGGTATTTCCATCTAATGAGCTGTTTAGGGTATTTGATTATTTTTTAGCCTTTTACATTAGAAAGTGAGCTCTAAGGCAGGGAGACTATCTCACTGGCAGCTGGGTCATAGTGCCACTTAGTAGTGTTGAGATGAATTGAACTGAATTTGACCCAGGATTTCTCAAGCACTGCTTGTCCCTTTCAACTTCAGTTCCTGGACTTGGGCGTTCCCTTGGGTTTCTGCCCAAAATGCCTCGCCTGCGGGTCATTCACATGTTCCTGTGGTACCTGATCTATGGCCACCCTGCCAGCCATCCGGTGGAGAAGCTGAGCTCCAGCAGTGATAAAAAAATGGGCAAGCAGGAGCTGGGCAAGGCAGGAGCCCAGCCCTCCTCCTCTGGAAGCGACTGGGAGGCTTCCTCTGAAGCCAAGGACACCCTCGAAAGCACCGCCCGGGAGGCTGAAGTAGAGCTCTCCTCAGAGATAGGTGAGAGACCCTGCCACATCCACGCCACCCATGCATGGCCCTGATTGCCTGACCAGGCTGCATCCCCACCCTGTCCCCTCCTTCCTGTCTTATAAGGAGGGTTTGTCCAAGTTGGTTATGAGGGAACAGGACCTGCTAGAGATGGGATCCTGTCTGCTGGGAATGACCCCCTGACTTCTTCCCTAGTGTACGTGGACGAAGCCTCATGGATGCGCTATGTCCCTCCCATCCCGGTCCACAGGGACTTTGGCTTTGGCTGGGCTCTCGTCAGTGACATTCTTCTCTGCCTGCCCCTCTCCATCTTTGTCCAGGTTGTACAAGTCAGCTACAAGGTACCAGTGACGTTTGGCCATCACAGCTCATGGGGCCTGGTTGAGGGAGAGTACTTGGAATTGCAGAGATGGATGGGTATATGGATGGACAGAAAACAGGTCAAGGGAAAGTACTTCCAAGATTTTTTTCTAATAGAAATACTGAAGTTGGTGAGCTAGTAGATTGGATAGGTGGATGGATGGTCAGTGACTTGCTTGAGAAATTTATTCTTCTAGATAGATCTACTGTTGGTTAGGTAAGTGGATAGAAAGATCATTGGAGTGTAAAAATAAAATACGGTTTTAGGAATTCGGTAAAAAGGAAAAAAAAATTACCCATAACCTAATCACATAGGTATCACATTTGGTAGTCACTGCTAGTGTTTCTGGTGCACTTTATGCTTTTTTTTTAGTCTTTTTTTTTTCTGTGCTATCTGTGTATATGAGGGAGCGAGAAAGAAATCTCCCTTTTAAAAAAAAACTGAGATTGGCTTTACTCTTTTATCATGTTCTTTCCACTGACCAATATATCATGTTTTCCATAGCATTACATTTTTAGCTTGATATTAATTAAATTCATAGCATTCCTTCTTAAGCATGTACTCTAAGCAATAATAATTTCTACTTTTAGACACTTAAATTCTACTTTCTTGCTCTTATAAACGACAAACACCTTTTGGTGAACATACATGTAGGCGACTGCATAATTTTTTCCTTAAGGCAGAATCACAGACTCCGAGGAATCGTGTCCTTTGTCTTTTGTTAATGTAACTCTCTCCCATTGCCTTTTTCTTTTTTTTATTTTTTGCAGTACTGGGGTTTGAACTCAGGGCCTACACCTTGAGCTATTCCACCAGCCCTTTTTTGTGAACAGTTTATTTAACATAGGGTCTCACAAACTGTGTGCCCAGACTGACTTGGAACCACAGTCCTCCTGATCTCTGCCTCCTGCATAGCTGGGATTACAGGTGTGAGCCACCAGTGCTCAGCTTCCCATTGTCTCTTGGAAGTATTTTAGCCACGTGATGCCCAGCAGTACACAAGGCACTCGCCTGTTGCACCAGCGGTGTGGCAGGAGAACCAGGGGGTGCAAACGGGCGGGAGTCCTGCCGGTGTTTTTTCACAAGTCTTGTGATTCTTCCTAGCCTTGTGGCTAGGCTGAACCTCAGTTGGCTTATCTAGGTGGACAACCTTGATGAGTTTCTGAATGACCCTCTGAAGAAGCACACGCTGATCCGGTTCCTCCCCAGGCCCATCCGGCAGCAGCTCCTGTACAAGAGGTAAGGTCCTAGAACCTGGCTGGCCCATAAGGCCTCGGGTGCATACTCACCTCCAGGTTGAGGAACAGGCTCTGTCTTTTCAGCAGGAAAGACCCCGGTTTTCATTCATTGAGCCACCAAAGACATAACGAGCTGATACATTATATTACTTGATTTTAAGTAAGGAAAATTTTGCTGCAAAACTGTAATTATTGGAGTGTTGTGCTGTGGTTTGGGGGCATCTTGTTATATGTGCTTTCTAAATCAAGCCCCAGGAGTGGGCTTGGTCCTCCTGGTTGGGGTGGGAAGTGAGAATTTGAGCCTCAGTACAGTGCAGGCTGGAGGTTGCTCTTCTAGGCAGCCCACATGGGAAAGAGAAGTAATATATCCCTGCCCCCATCGCAGACCCTGTGCCCACAGAGAGGTGGCAGGAACTGGCCACCTTGTGCTGCAGGTGGCACATTTCCTCTCTAAGGTAGGGGTACATTTTCCCCCTTTATGTTGCAGGCCCCCTGTGCTGCAGGGGTGCATTTCCCCCTTTGCCTTGAAAGGGGCTCATTTCCCCCTCTGTGCTGCAGGCGGTACATTTTCTCAGTGGTGGAGAACCTTCAAAGGCTGTGCTACATGGGGCTGCTACAGTTCGGTCCCACAGAAAAGTTCCAGGATAAAGACCAGGTAATGTCCTACAGCCTTGGGAAGGGTCCTGACTACAAAATGCTGGCCCTAAGCAGCCATCCGACGCTGATCACCCACATGCCACCTCGCCCACCTGGTGTTTCTTGCAGGTCTTTATTTTCCTGAAGAAGAATGCTGTCATCATCGACACCACCATCTGTGACCCACATTATAACCTGGCGCACAGCACGCGGCCCTTTGAGAGGCGCCTCTATGTTCTGGACTCCATGCAGGATGTGGAGAGTTACTGGTTTGACCTGCAGTGTGTCTGCCTCAACACCCCACTAGGTACCACTGTCTCACTGGGCCCTGCTGCCTCCCTCCCTTGTGATCAGCAGGCTGTGAGCTACACAAGACTGGGCGTCACGTGGACAATAGTTTTTAGACTGCTCTCCAAGGCCAGGAATGTCCCTAGGGCTCCCTTAAGAAGCAGAGTGGTGGCCTTGAATTGGGAACTCCTGGGCCCCCACTCCACTGCACCTAAGCACTTTGTCTTCACATGCCATTGAGTCAGCGTTTCTCATGCACCACACAGCCTGTTCCTGCCTTCGAGACACTGCCTTCTGGTGAGGGTGCAATACAGCTTTGAGAGCGCAGAATGTGATGAGTGCTGTAGGGTGGCAGATGGCTGCTGACGCCAGTCCATTCCAAGGGGCACTCAGGAACAGCCTTTCCAAGGAGTCCACCCTGAGCTGAGCCTTGCAGGCTGAGGCCAATCCAGCCATGTTGGGGACTAGGGAAGGTGCTCCAAGTAGGGGAAGCAGCATGCACAAAAGCCCTGAGGTGCATGTGGGAGAAAGACCAGGCTGGCACATCAGGGAGGGGAGTGGTAGCGGAGAGTGGAAGGGCAGGCCAGAGCCAGACTCTGGGGCCTGGTGGGTCACAGTGAAGAGTTTAGGTTATTTAGAGAGTGGCAAGAAGCCACAGGGCGGTTGTGGGAAAGCAGAGGCTAGGTGATTTGGGTTTTAAAGCTCAACCTGGCTGCCACGTGGAGAGTGGAGTGAGGGCCTGGTCCGCAGTCGACATCCTGTAACTGTACGGAATGAAAGCATGAATTTGTGGAAAGTGGCAGAACCCCAGTCCAGTGCTTTCCCCTAGGCCGCTCTGCTCCCCACCTCCTCTCCCCTGCCACCTTCCAGAAGGGAAAGATGCCACACCTGACTTGGGCCTGGGGAGGAGCCACTGCCCTGGCGCAGAGCCTCAAGATCAGAATGGCCCTTCCGGTCTTGCCAAGCAGGAGACAGGCGTGTGGTGGAATTACTTACTGCCAGCAGGGTGTGGACCCTGTGTTTAGAAGCTTTCAGGGATGCAGACTACCGCGGCACTTGGTAGTGAAGAGGCTCTTCCCCTTTTAGACTTTATAGTGCCTGATCCCCTGGCAGTTCAGACCTAGTTAAGAAGTGGTGAGCCAGCATGCAGACATCGTTTTCTTCAGACCTGACGGTTGGTGCCTCCTGTCCCACTGAGTGTTCTGAGCAGACATGGCAGAAGCTATGTGTCTGTTTGTCAGGCACTCACCGTCCCTCTGTTAAATAATATCAAAAACTCCCTCTTCTCCATTCACCCTTTGGCATTTTAATGCTCTTCCTGCCCCAGGGTGAAGTCAAGTGCTCTCTCAGCATCAGGCCCCACCTGGATTGGGGCTATTGCACAAAATGGGGTGCAGAAGGCTGTGGCTGCTGAACTCAGCTTTGCTTTTCCAGGTGTGGTGCGCTGTCCATGTGTCCAGAAGAGCAACCCTGATCAGGGCAGCGGCCAGGAGGGCCTGCAGAAGGAGCAGGAGAGTGCCATTGACAAGCATAACCTAGAGCGCAAGTGTGCCATGCTGGAGTATACCACGTATGTGTCCCCACACACACACACATGCTGTCCCCAAGTGGGCCTAGGGCCCAGGACAGGGTGCCGGAGTAGCCATCCCAGAGGCCCCAATTCAGGCCAGAGGGGAGGGGACCCATCTCTGTGTAGAGGCAGCAGATTGGTGGTTGTGAGCCACATCTGGCCGTGGACATGCTTTACTTAGTCCAAATACTGCTTTTAGCAGTTCCACCCCTTGTGGGAATTTAGAAGTTGGGTACTTCACATAGAAACAGGAACTTTGCGACACTGGAAACCATGAATGCTAGAACTCCAAATTCTTTACTTCCACCTGCTAGGTTTCCTGTTTCTCTAGGAAGGAAAATATTTGTAAGTAAAGACCCCCCACTCCACACTTGAGCTCTCTGCATTTTCTGAGAAGGGCTCCGTTTCTGTTTCCTGTCTCAGGGGGAGCCGTGAAGTGGTAGATGAAGGCGTGGTCCCTGGAGATGGGCTGGGTGCTGCTGGGCTCGATTCCAGTTTCTATGCACACCTAAAACGCAACTGGATCTGGACCAGCTACATCATCAACAAAGCCAGAAAGGTGGGCTCTGAGGCACACAGCCACACAGGACGGACTCGGACTGTCCACTGAAAACTGTCCTCCCGTGTCTTCCCAGCCATGACTTCTGAAGTGGGGAAGCCAAAATTGACTTTTGCGTTTGTATTAAAGGTGCATTAGACCCTTTAAATACCATTTTTTCCCCAACAGATTCTGACTTATTCTGTGATGTAGACAGTTTCTCAATTTTAGGGAGGGAATAGAAGTCTGGGTGATACGTGACCTCCAGGCAGGAGGACACATGCAGTGACAGAGTGGCTGGACGGGCTGCCTAGGCTTTCTCAGAGAGGGTCCTCTCAGCATGTCTATTGCCCTGGGCACCTGGGGACCCACAGAAGCACGTGCCTCCTCCTTCCAGTGTCGCTCTTGCCTTTCAGGAGAACATGGCCGCAGAGAATGGGCTCACAGTGAGGCTGCAGACGTTTTTGTCCAAGCGCCCTTTGCCGCTTGGTACAGGAGGTACGTTTGCAGAGAGTCCACCCCAGAGAACCACATGGGCCACGTGGGTTCCACTTGATGTGCTCGGCCTTGGCAGAGCTTGTCCTGAGATTAGGCTGTCCTGTGGTGATTTCCAGGTAGTGACAGGCTGCCTGTCTGGGGAGAAGCAAAAGCAGACACTGACCCCTGTGCTGACAAGGAGGAGCAGCTGGAGGTGGACCGGGAGCCCACTCAGGGCCGGAACCGCAGAGTGCGGGGAGGGAGAGGCCAAAAGCGGAAGCGGCCGAAGAAGGAGCCTGGGAAGAGGACGAAGAAAAGGAGAAAAGGTTCTATAAGGGCCATTTGCTTGTTGGGAGCTTTGTCTGTATGTGTCTGAGATGCATGACAGTCTCACTCCAGGGAAGCTGGGCTCATTTCTACTGAAACATCCTAGCAAAATACTCATCACTTAACAGATATCCCCTCTTCTTGTGGAGTATGTTTACTGTCTGCATTTATATTAGGCCAAGTTCAGAGTCATGCATGGAGAACTGCAGTCTCTTCAGATCTGACATGGGCTTCGTGGAGTGTCCTCTAGTTTTCTATTTGGGATTCTTCATCTGAACAGTGGTTATGGTGGAAGAAGCTGGGTGGGGAGGAGACAGAGTCAGGTTTTTAGACCATTGTTAATCACCTAGGCAATCCATGTGTTTTAACAGTGATTCTCTCTAGAAACACCCTCCCAGACACCACCAGAGGTGTACTGTACTAAGGAGCTTCTCAGTCTAGTCAGGGTGACAAGATTAATCATCAAGCCGAGTATTGCAATAGGCGTTCCTCAAGACAGCCCCAGAGGACTAGAAGAGTGGCTCAAGCAGTAGAGTACCTGCTTTGCAAGTGTGAAGCCCTGGGTTCAAACCCCAGTCTCACAAAAAAGAAAGAAAAAGAAATCAAGACAGCCCCAGAACATAGGCCTTGTCCTCTTGGTGTACAGAACTTTCCCATACCCTGAGGTCATACAGAGAGGGAGTGGCGTGCTGGTGGCTGCACAGTTGGGGTTTTCCTTACTCAACAAGCATATTCTGTACGGTCTCTAAGCACACTAGGAGGACTTAACATCCCAGTGGGAGCAAGTGGAGGTTGGCAGATAACTAACGAGAGGCTGTATTCATGCTGTCCAGCCTGTCACCAGGAAATTCAGCCAGAGAACCATCACAGGGTGATGAGGAGCCCGTCAGGAGGGCTGAAACTTCTGTAGACAAGATGAGAATCAGTAACTGACAGGCTTGGTCAGGTCTTAAAGCTAGGTGGGGCCCTTCCCCTCTGATGGCAGCTCCAAGGCAGTTGTTGTCTCTCTTCCCTGCCATTGCTAGGAGAGCTCCCAGAAGTCAAAAACAAACGACTACGCTACCATGACGAGGCCGACCAGAGCGCTCTGCAGAGGATGACGCGGCTGCGCGTGTCCTGGTCCACGCAGGAGGATGGTCTGCTCATGCTGTGCCGTATCGCCAGCAACGTCCTCAACACCAAGGTGCCCAGCATGACCTTCCTGCTGTCTCAGCCTCAAGGAAACCCTGGCCTGGTTCACTCATCTCATCCACTCTACGTGGCCAGTGGAAAGAGTGAAGAGTGTTTTCCCAGTGCTGCAAATCAGAACCATCTCCACCCTTGCACATTTCTTTCCAGCCCGCAGCTAATACATAAGGATTTTTGCCTAGCTGCAGGCAACAGTTCTGAGCTATTCTCTCTTCCTGGGAACCTAGCTCTTTCCCACATCTCATGTCAGTCACTGCCACCAGCCCTTGGGAAAGCTTTGTTGTCCTGCCCATGGAAGCAAGTGCCCTGGCGCTTTCTACCACCCACCCCACTCTGTTGCTTTGCTGCCCCCTGGGGTACAGAGTTTCTTGTTTCTTTCCTGGCTGCAGCCCCAAGCTCAGTACCACTGCACAGTGGTCTCACAGTCTGGGTTCATTGAACCCACACAACTGGTGATGGTAGCTGTGGCCCGGCTCCTCAGGCGTCTCACCTTTGTTCTTTGCCTTCTACTTTACAGTCACCATGCTCTTGCCACCTCCTTGCCTGTGTCCCTGGAGTCCAGGCATGGGGAGGCCTCACTGTCTAGCAAACCCTCCCTCTCCTCTGATGGCTCAAAGGTTCTGCAGCCTGACCTCTCCCCATTCCCATAGCACCTCATTGGCTCCTCATGTTTTTACTGCTGGGCACTGTCCTGATCTTCTCAGTGAGCAACAACGTGTGGCCACATGTCCATGTGCCACCGCAGATGAGCTCTGTCACAGGCCAGTCCAGAGCCTTTTGCAGGCAGTGATGGTACTAAGAGTAGTAAGGCAACATGAGGACACAGTGTTACCTGGTCTCCAGCGTCCTGGCTCGGAAAAGCAAGTAAAGGTCATAGCCCATCGTGCTGTTTATTTAGCCCCTGCTTCAGACCTGAACCCCAGTCCTCTCCTCACCCCCAACCCAAACCCTTTTCCAAGGAAGAAGCTAGGATGCCCATTGCCATCCCTGACTGTCCCCTGCCTCTGCAGCACTGAGAGGGAGGTGTCATTCTCGCCGCCCCCCCCCCCATTCAGTGCGCCTGCAGGAGCCAGGAGGGGCTCATGACCCACTGTAAGTGAACCACTTGCTGAATTTACACTGGATTCTCAAGTCATTTCATTCCTGGGGTTGTAAGAAAATAATCTGTTACTCACCAACCCCCTTTCCTATATGTGGTTTTCTGAGATGTTCTGAGCCTGCAATCTTAGTGCAATCTATGTCTACCAGAGTGATATAAAGCATGATACAGATTGGCTGTGAGCATATGATGTATGGTTCATCCTTTAAAGCCCTGTCCCTGCCAGATGTAGTGATGCACACCTGTAATCTCAGCACTCGAGGCTGAGGCAGGAAGACATGAGTTCTGAACTATATAGGAAGCCCCTGTCTCAGAAAACCAAAAAATAGAACAAAATTCCTCTACCTAAGCACATTTCTGTCTTAGGATGTCACTTAATGCATCATCCTCCCCATGAGTACCTCCAGTCCCCCAGAGCATCCCTGCCATGGTGCTTCTCTCTTTCTTCATCCTGCATACCCATGAGTCAGGTGTGAGATGCAGGTAGAGGACAGCAAGGGCTCCAACAGGCTGTCCAGAAACCCTCTTCCCACTGGACACTGAGGGCATGTCCTGTTCTGTGCCCAGGCCTCACTTGTGCCTGTGTTTGGGTAAATAGCTGAGATGACAGCTTTGAGCACTCACTGAGAGGCAAGGCTTCATGGGACACATTTCTCACACCTTTCCATCCCTTCCCTAGAATGTAGGCTCTGCAGATAACTAATTTTCTGTCTCTGTCTGTTTTTAATGCAGGTGAAGGGTCCATTTGTCACCTGGCAGGTTGTTCGGGACATTTTACATTCTACCTTTGAAGAGTCTTTGGATAAAACGTCTCACTCTGTTGGACGAAGAGCTCGCTATATAGTCAGAAACCCACAAGCCTATCTGAACTACAAGTAAGCCAGTCTCATCAGTTTGTTTCCAGTGCTTCCAGTTCATTCTTCTCTCTTCCTTCATCTGCGTGCCGTGAGTCAGGTGTGAGATGCAGGTGGAGCACAGCAAGGGCTCCAGCAGGCTATCCAGGTGTCAGAGGCTACCCTTGGCATTCCAAGGGCCAGGTGCAATTCTGGCACAAGCTTTCATGTGCATGGTTTTATTTGGACTACAGAGCACCCTTGAAGTGGTTCTGCTGACTTGCTGAGCGTCCTGTGGTGGGGGCAGAGGCTGAACCTGCTGCCTTTAGCTCTCAAAGCAGTTCCCAAGATACCCTGTTAGCAGTCTGTCATATACCTCACTTCCTGGGAGAAGCCAGACAGGACTCTGGATTGCTGGACAAAATGTACTCCATCCCACCCTCAGCAGAGCTGAGTGTCCCTAAGTGCTTCTTCCAGCATGACATGTGGGAAGAGCAGCTGCCTGGGAGTCACAGAGCACCTGCCTGTGGCCTCTCTATTGGCGGCAAGGCTGGCCTACTGCCTCCTTCTCACAGGCTAAGGTGGTGAAACACTGCAGTCCATAACACCCTCCATAGGTCCTTCTAGGAGGATGAGCTGACCAGGAGGTGCCCCCAAGTGCAGCCAGTGAGGGTAAGGTGGAGTGAGGGGCAGGCACGGAAAGAACCGTGCCAGCTGTTCATGCCCCAAGTTAGCAAGACAGCCTGGCACGTGTGGACCTGGGCTCCTGGCTGCCTGTAGTCAGCTAGACTAGAGAGAGTGGCCCAGGCCTGGCTTGTGGAGGAAGCAAATCTAGACAAGTCTTTAAACCCCGGCTCTTGCCACCTGGGATTGGCTCATCCTGTGTTGTGGGGTTGTCGCCCAGCCTCCCCTCTCTGCTTTACAACCAGCAATCGCTCCACACAGTATAGGAACGAGTTCGCCCCAATGAGACGCACTGAGACGTAACTAGGGCCTTGTGTGGAGCCACTCTGCGTACACGCAAACTATCCCAATTTCCTATCTGGAGGATCTCTTTCTGATGTCACCCCACCTGGTCCTGGCTGGCTCTTCAGACCCAGAGAGAAAGTGTGAGGTAGCCTGGATGACAGGGAGTTGACAATGAAGAGATCTGAAACCTGAGCTGCCTGGCCTGACTGCCCTTGCCCTTCTCTGGCAGTAGCCTGAGGACATGGAAAAGGGGGGCTCAAGTCAGCAGGTCTAGAGCTCCCATCTCACTGCAGGTCTCCAGGGATGGGGGCTGAAGCTATTTGCTCCTCTGAGAAGCAGGATGTGACATCAGGAATGGCCACGCTGGTCCCGCTTGTTCCAGCCCCTGGTGTGTGTATATGGCCTTAGGGCCTCCCTTACCAAGCTGTGAGACGAGTGACAGTTTCCATCTGGCAGGTTCTTTATGGCGCTGGTCATCTCCTTCGTTTCTGTTTGGGCAGGACAGGCTCTCCTAACATCAGAGAGACAGAAGGGTTGTGGGAAGACGAGCAGTGCTTTGGAAAGGAGAGCTCCAAGCACTGATAAACACCAGTGTGTATTTTAAAATTTACAAACTCACCTTATCGGTCACCTCATTGGGTCCTGCCCAAATTCCCATGAGGACTGGTGAGAGTCACTCATCCCAGCTTTCCTGAAGGGGCACAGGAGCCTGGAGAAGCCAGGTCACTGCTCATGCAGAGTTGAATCAAGTTCAGCTCCCCCAACATCGTTCATTTCCAAAAGCCCTAGTCATCCAGGAGACACATCAGTAGATCATAGCTCACAGTTAGCCAGTGCCAGATGTTCATCACCTGGGCATGAGCACAGCTCCCAGGCTTTGTCTTCCTCTCACCTTTCTGCAGGGTGTGCCTGGCTGAGGTGTACCAGGATAAAGCCCTCGTTGGAGACTTCATGAATCGAAAGTGTGACTATGAAGACCCAAAGGTAGACCTCAAGTGATGGCAGGGCCCAGTCTGCTCTAAAAGCAGGTTTCAGAGTATTGGCCTGGTCCTCAGGGCCTGGTGCCTCTGCCAGCCCCACAAACATAGATCTGTGTCCTGCTCATTTGGGAAATCATCTTGTCAGACCTTTGGCTTTGGACCTCACCTGCTCCGGAATCCATTTTTTAAAAACTACTAGTTTGACAAAGCCACTCTGAAATGCTGCTGTGCCCGGGTCTATTGTTAAGGAAACAGGGCAGCCCTTCAGAACCTGTAACAGCCTGACATCCTGGGAAGCTGCTCTGTGGGTTTGCTGTCAGGTGGGCCGGGCGGGTGGTAGCTGATGAGGAGGGAGGCAGGTTTGTAGGCCCAGATGCCTCTGTACTCTAGCTCAGAGTCTGCTCAATGCTCACTTGTCAAGCTGCCACAGGCACACCCAGCCTAATGCCAGAGAGGTTGAGCTGCCCTGGGCCCTGCTGTAAGTGCCAGACCTGATGCCAGGGAAGCCCAGGACAGGGAAGGTACAGCTCTACCCCTGAGGCATGCAGGCCAGTGGGGCAGGCAGAGATGTTGGCAGCTGTTACAGCACAGGGCAGCCAGCTTCCCAGAGAAGAGGCACAGGCCCACTGAGGACGGACAGGGTCAGGAGTGTCTAAAGATGCAGTGACAGGTGAATCGGCTGGGGGCTCCATTTGCCTCACATGCCAAGCCTTCTGGAGGTGACAGTACTGTGCTCAGGCCAGTGCCCAAGTCATTGTCACTTTACTGTCCATCCTAGTGACCTTCCCATTCTACACCAGTCACCATAGTTGCAAGGTAACCTAGAGCTCAGGTACCCACCACACACCACAGAACCCCAGGGTGTGAGTGGTAGGAAGGGTATTGCAGAGGCCCTTGGTCAGGAATCCTCTCTCTAGGAGCCCTGTGGGTCTGGGCCACAGCACTCTAACATAGACTGAGGTGGCATAAGTGACTTGACCATTCTCACTCATCCTGGGAGGCCACGCATCTTGTCTCCCAAAATGGAGCCAGCATGGGCATCACTAGCAAGAAAGAAAAGGGTGGAAAATAGGTCATGGACAGAATCTGTCCAGAGGTGATAGCTCTGGACTGAGCCTGGGAGGCTGGGGCCACTGAAGTGGAGTCAGTGAAAGAAGAGGGCATGGTGCCCTTGGAATACAGTGCGGCCATGTGGGGGAGGGGCATTCCACGAAGGGAGAGAGCCAACATCCGCCCTGAGTACCAGTCAGCCAGTTTACTTACCAGAATGGTTGTTCTGGCCCCGGGAGCTAACAGGAGAGAGGGAAGGAGGAGGCAGACGCCAGCAGGTGTATAGGAAGTTGGTTTGGAGCCCAGCAGGTGAGTGGAGCTGGAGGAGAGGAAGGAGGAAGAAAGCCACCCTGGGAGGAGGGAGTGACAAGGGCAGCACAGGCTGCCAGTTGGAGGTGCTGGTGGGCTCTCTGGGCATAGTACAAGGCATGTCCTGGGCAAAGGGAGCCAGGCTGCAGGTGTGTGGGCCAGAAGCATGCCAGCTGACCTTAGAGGGCCCAGGCTCTTGGTAGAGTGGTGAGTGTTTGCAGACTCAGGAAGGGAAAGACAGTGCAGCCACTGATCAGACATACTGCTGCAGGAGTGTCACAAGATGTCCCTTGGTACATCTTCACAAAACCTCCCTTCTGGGAGAGGAAGGGTTAACATTTCACTCTCCGTGTCAAAGGTTTGTGCCAGTGAGTTTAAAGAATTTGTGGAGAAGCTGAAGGAGAAGTTTAGTTCAGGCCTGAAGAATCATAACCTGGAGATCCCTGACACACTTCAGGAGCTGTTTGCCAGGTGGGTTTCCTGGGCTGGATCCACAGGGGCTTCACAGACAAGAGGTGGAGTCAGTGGCAGGCCCTGCGGCCATGGCACCCATCCAGTTGCACTTGCCCTCGCTGCTGCCCCTCCAGGCACTGCCTGATCTCCTGAGGTGACCTGAAAACAGAGAGCAGTCTGCTCTGTCCACCAAGTCTCCATTCACTATCCCAGGTGTCCTTGTGGGCTTAGAGTGCCTTGTTCTGCATTTGCTTGTTAAACATGAGGAGGTTCCAAGATGTGAGTAAGGAAGAGGGACACTGTGATAGGCATAGTGTTATGGTGACAGCAGATGCCACAGGGCAGGGGCCATGCCCTGCACAATGTTGGTGCCCAGGGGAGGAGTGGGCACTCAGCCACTGCAGCCCAAGGTCCCGATCTGGCAAGCAGCAGGGCCAGGACTCTGGAACCTCGCTCCTTCCAGCTCAGCCACTCTGTCTGGAAGAAGAGAGCACAAAGAACACTGTGAGACTGTCGAGTCCTCAGTTCTGTGAACTCAGTCTGTTGCCTGGGTGTCATCCCAGCATGAATCCCTTCTCCCCTCCGTACTCATGGAAAATGTCCTCCTGGCCCATGTATTTCTGATTTCTTCCTGGATCAGGCAGCTCCTGGTTGTGAACTGATGACTCCTCTGCTCTCTGTGTTCACATTGGATCTCATTTTTCATTCATTTGCAGATCATTTATGTGGTGTCCACTCTGTACCAGACCCACACAGTGGTTTGTGCTCATCCTGGACCTGGCTGTTCTCTGGGTTTTGTTTTATTTTTGCAGGAAGCTGTGCCCTAGAATTCCCAGGTGGCATGGCTTATGTTCAGTCTTAAACATGTCTCAACTGCCTATCCACATATTCACTGTGAAGTTAGAAGACTTAAAATAAGGATTTTAAAAGGAGAGTCCCCAGACCATTCAGAGATGAGAGCAGTCTGCAGACGTGATGGCTGAACTGTTTTGATCCTGAGCATCCTGGCAGGCCAGGCAGGATAGAAAAGGACTCCTCTGTATTTGTCTTGTTTGAAAGTAATTCACATATTTTTCTGAAAAGGTGCTTCTTCTTGGCACTATATTTTAGGAGAATTTACTATTACAAAGGTGAATTTTTACTTTTTCTAGAATCTCTTACAAATGGCCATGTTCTTAAAATGCCATTTCTGTGATTAATTCTTATATTTATTTGCTTGGGAAGAATCCAATAACATGGAGCTCAAAGAGGAGATGAGGGAAAGTCTGCTGTTCTACCATCTAAGGCAGCTACTCTCTTTGGGGTTTATTATTCATTCGTCCATTCATTCATCCATTTATTTAGTGTGGGGAAAGAACCCAGGGCCTGCGCATGCTAGGCAAGTCCTACCGTGAGCTACATCCCAGCCCTTGCTTTTTTGAGACAGGGTCTCAACTCTGTAGCCCAGGCCAGCCTGTAACTCACTATGCTCTGCCTCAGTCTCCCAATTGCTGGGATTACAGATGTGTGCCCAACTTACTTGTTCATATTTCATTGACAGGTGCTAATGGTATATTTTTGGGCATATGTTTTGCCATATACAAAGTTATTATTAGCAGTGGTCACTGCAGCACAAGGTCACCAAAGTTACCCTTCTAGCCTGACTGAGGCTCTGTACCCTAATCAGCTTCCTCCCTTGTTCCAGCCCCCTTCCCACCCTCAGTCTCTGATAAACAACTTTTCAGATTGCTCTGGATATTTTCTACCAGCCTCTTTTTTTTTGCTTGTTTTTAATCACAGTGAGCCCACAGTTCTGCATCCTGCTCTGTTAGCAACGTCATGTTGCTTCGCAGTTGAGTGAACCATCTCATTCCTTGTAACAGGCTTGTTTGATGGGTGGGATGTGGTATAATGTCATTTGATGTACACATAGAGTGTTTGACTCTGGGTGAGCTTGACCTTTTCCCAACATTTTGGGCAATAAATAGGCATTGTGAGCAAGTGTTGGCTCAGCCAATGAAGATCTTTGTCTCATCGGCATGCTCTTCTGTTTCCTTCACAGGTACCGAGTTTTGGCAATCGGAGATGAAAAAGATCAAATCAGGAAAGAAGATGAGCTTAATAGGTGAGGACTGACCCATCGTACCTTTTCTTCAGCAGCTTAGTTTGTTTGTCTACAGCTAGCACAGAGTTAATCCAGAGCCCAATCTAGCCTGCTACCTATTGTTGTAAATAAATAAAGTTTTGTTGGAGCACCATCCATACCCACTCTGTTAGAGTGTTACCAGTGCTGCTTTCATGCTGTAGTTTGTTTCAGGAGAGTCCATGTAACCCACAAGGACTATAGAGTTCAGTAACTGGCCCTGTACAGAAAAGGTTTGCCAGCCTCTAACCCCACACGTCACTGACCTGCCCTTCAGGTGGCTGGGGAAGGTGCCTGAATTCCCAGCCCATGAGGGTGCCAAGCAACACTCGGCTAGAAAGCTCAGCTTCAACCTGTTTCCATAGCCATATGCAGTTTGATTTTTAGGTCTATAATTCAGTGAGAAGCTACTCTATTTGAAGAAAAACTTGTCTAAAATTAGAGAGAAAGAAAATAAGCACTGTCTGACTGGTCCTGTAAGCAGGTTCCAGGTTATGTTGCTCCTCGCCGACAGGGCAAACTTTTTCCTACAAAGCTTGACCAATTAGTAAGTCCTGAAAACTATGTTTGTTTTGTTTTGTTTGTGACTGGTTTTGGCACTCATGCCACTTTCATGAGCTTGAAACATTTTTAACTGAGAACAACACCCCCTACCACCACCACCAAGATGAGGGGAGCCCTAGACTTGCCTCACGCTGCTCTGGTCTGTTTCAGTGTGGACGACATCCACTTTCTGGTGCTGCAGAACCTGATCCAGAGCACGCTGTCACTCTCCAACAGCCAGATGAAGTCCTGCCAGTCCTTCCAGGTGGGCGCCCATGTCTGTCAGCACCTTGAATGCTTCCAGCACCAGAGCAGGGAGTTGCCTTTTCCAGCCGTGTACCCCCAGGGCCTGGTTCCCCTGAGTCTCATGCCTCAGCTTCTTCCATCCTTATTTGGGGTTTTGTTTGTTTTACTTTCATTTATTTATTGGTCAATTTTTTTTTTTTTATTTTGTGGTGCTAAGGATGGAACCCAGGGCCTCGCACATGCTAGGGCTGTACCCCAGCTCTGTTCGCTTATTCTTATTACCTATTCAAACGTAAAACTGGATGATTTTGTATGCATATATGTTGTGAGGTGATTGCCACAGGACACCATCTGTGACCACAAGCTGCGTGTCAGTCCCCAACGCTGCTTCCTCTGGCAGGACTAGAGTCCCATCTCCCAGCCAACATCTCTCCCCATGTTCCTGTCATCTTCCAAGTACAGGGACGGGTCCAAGCCACTGCCAACCCTCCCCATGCTGAGGTTTAAGCCTGTTGATGAATACAGGGAATGAGGCGTTGCTAAGAACTTGGGGGAGTGGCAAAGCACCTCTTCCAATTACCATGGATGATGTGGATCTAGCTTGCTTCATTAGAGTTCAGAGTGGGGACATGCCTTTGGTGGGTGGTGACTCACATGTCTCCAGAGGACTCAGGAGGAGAGAAAGGTGATCCAATCCATTTAACTCATGTGGAGCCAGGAAAGCTGGTGCTTTTATCACTCTTCTACAAATACAGAGACTTGAGGTTCAGAGATGTCAGACACAGGCTCGGCCCGTAGCTCAGTCATTACACAGGATGCCAGCAGAACTGCTGAGGGCCAGGGCTGCCAGGGCACCATCCCCCTCATGGGCAGTGGTCACACATGTGAGTGCCCAGTGGCACTGGGCTTCGTGTCCAATCTGTAGGCCTGAAGATCTGCTCCTTGGCCTTACGAGAATAGCCACAGTACTTAGAATGTAAGGAAAAATGGTGACAATAGAGAATTGGTATTTCCTAACCCCACCGAGGAAGCCAGGCAGGTCCCAAATTTTAGGGTGCCTCAAGTGAGCCAGAGGCCAGGGAGCCTCACCCCAAGGCTTCCAGGAGTGTGTACATTTCAAAGCAAGAGGATGGGGGTGCTGGCGGAATGGCTCCAGTGATAGAGTTTCTGTCTACCATTCAAACATGAATCCCTGAGTTCAAACTCCAGTACTGCCAAAAAAAAAGGCAAAGCAGGAGGCAGTGTTGGTGCCCTGAGCTCCTCAGCTACCCCCACATTTTTGCAGCTGAAAAGAAACAAAGCCCACCTGAGCCTGAACAGGAAAGAATGAAAAGGAATGGATTAAGGCAGAAGTCCCAAGTGGACATCACAAGCCACAGCTTTTACTTAGCTGGGCTCATACTCGTTTAAAAAGAAAAACAAAGCTTGTGTTTTAATTTACTGCCAGTGCTGCAGCAGAGAAGCCAGATTTCTGACTCTGCCTGCTTACTGTGGAGGGGCCTCCCCATCTCCTGCTTAGAGGTGAGGAAGTGTGGTATCCTCAGGGTCCTTCCCACCTCCCCCTCCAAAGGACAAAGCCTAGCTCCAGAGATAAGGCAGGTCACGCCATTAATGTAGAACCAGGCCCCAGTGTCCCTGCCACTGACTTTCCACTCCATCTCCAGGTGGCTTCCGGGCTCTGGTGGGTAGTGCCCAAAGGCTGGTGAGCTCCTTCACTCTAGGGCCTGGGGTGTCACAGTTGGAAGACCCCCTGGCCTGCCGGCCTCCCCTCCCCAGAGGAGGTAAGATGCTTCTTCAGTGACTCCCACAACCTGGCAGTGGGGTTTAGAAGGCTAAGGGTCCCCTATAGCCCAAAGCCCCTAACATAGTACAGAGAAGTAAGTGGGAGCACAAGCAGTGAGGCAGCTGTGGGGTTAGCTCCTGTGACAGTCTACCCTCCAGGTAGCGTGGGCCAGCACAGAACAGCAGTTTTGTGGGGAAGCTGATTATGAAACAATGGGAACAAAGAGCAAAAGTCACTGGAGGCTAGGCTTTAGTGGCAGCAGAATCAGCAGCTGCCACTCGGGAAGGAGCAGCCACCCATCCCTGAGACTTACACTGACATACCCTGCTGTCCTGTGAGCAGCTCTGCCCTGTGGAGTCCAGTCCGTAACACTCAGATGACCAAGCTGAGAATCACATGGCTTGACCAGCAGAGGGGCCTCCGCACACAAGGCAGCATAGCACTCCCTGTGGGATACCTAGCCACAGTGGCCTCAGCTAGAGGGTGGGGTCCTGGGACTCCTGACGGTGGATCTGAAAATGAGGTTATTTCAGATAGAGGCCACTGCTATGGGGAAGACAGGACAGGGGAAGATAACACCATTGACCACAGGAGCAGGACTGGGAAGGATTTGGTTTTGAGGAGTCAACCAAGCCTAGATTTGGGGGAGCAACAATTGCAGAGGCCCAGAGGTGGGATTGCTTTGGCTTTTTTCAGGAAAAGTCAGCAGGCTCCCGCGGCTAGAGGGTTATGAGCTGGGTGGAGTTACAGCAGGGGTTCACACAGATACTAGTGAGACAGCATGGTGTTCCACTCAGAGGGAAGCTCCTGGGATTTTCCACACAGGGAAGGAGCATGGTCTGATTTCAACAGGGGAAGATTGCTATGGAGAATGGTCAGGGGCCAGAGGGAGGGGACACAGAGAAGAAGGGAAACCAGTCAGCAGGTGGCTGTATGGCTTGAGAAACTGTTGCATGGACCAGATGACAATTTACTTGGGGACATAGGCCAAAGGTTGAGCCAACCAGACATACTGATGGTTGGGTGAGAGACTAAGGGACAGTGACAGTGTCTCTAAACCCACAGACATAGGCATGGGTGTCAGCTGTCCGTTCTTTAGTCCTGTGGCCTCTGCAGGTGTGACAGTTCCAATCTGCTGTAGCTTCCACATGGGATCAGCCTCCCTCACTCACCATGTGCTATGTTGCAGACTTTCCGCCTCTACCGGGAGTACAAGGAACCTGTGCTGGTGAAGGCCTTCGTGGAGTGCCAGAAAAGGAGCCTGGTCAACCGGCGCCGTGTCAACCACTCGCTAGGCCCAAAGAAAAACCGGGCCTTGCCTTTCGTGCCCATGTCCTACCAGTTGTCTCAGTCCTACTACAGGTGAGCTGTGTTCAGGTCCTGGGTCGGGGCAGCCGTGGACCATCAGCCTCATCTTGAGACCATGCACCCTGAAGACAGGGTCTGAGGTTCAGCAAGACCATCTGACCTTGAGGCCCATTTCTGAACTGCTTGTCCCTATCTGGACCTGGACAGAGGACAGAGGTGGAGAGCAGTCCTGGGTAACTTCTCTCTGGCCATCATCACAAGGCCATGGGGAGGTACACTTCTGACAGAGCAGGACTTGCCCTATGTTGGCCTCTGGAAGCAGTGAGATTGGATACATGCATGTCCTCAATGCTACATACAGATCACTGTCACAAAGGGACCATCCTCTTTCCCCCGATCTGGGCCAGCAGCTGTTAGAGGGAGGCATGGGGTTCTTAGCTAGATAAAAAGACAGGCCCTGCTTTAGTGCTGTGGGGTGAGTGAGAAGAAAGACAAAGACCACGTTAGGCTGAAATTGTGCTTCCATCCAAGGTGGGAGGATAGGGCTGGGGGTTGGTGGAATTTTGACCACAGTGATCTCACATGGCCCAGACGCAGGCTCCCAGCAGCTGATCCTCGGGTGGCCTCCCATCTTTCTGTCTGCAGGCTCTTCACATGGCGATTCCCCAGCACCCTCTGCACGGAGGCCTTCCACTTCTACCACAGAGTCCTGGCCGCTGGCAAGTTGGACCAGCCAGACCACTTTGCCTTCAAAGACCAGGATAACAGTGACGCCCCAAACCATCTGGTGCCATTTTCTCTGGATGGCCCTGGGGGACACTGTGTGACAGCCTTGATCCTTTTCTCTCTGGGCCTCATTTCTGTGGATGTCAGGATTCCGGAACAGATTGTGGTAGTGGACAGTTCTGTGACAGAAAATGAGGACATGAAGAGGTGAGCTGAGAGGCCAGGTGCCATGTCCTTGGGGCCTGAACACAGATATTCCCTCTCATCGCTGTAGCATTTGCCGTTTTACTTGCTCAGCTGCCTGGTCTTCCTTCATTCAACAAACACATGCTGAGCTTTGCTGCTTTGCACCTGAGGCTGTGCAGGGATATGAGCAGGGGTCTTGGGGAGCTTGGGGGTGGGGAACAAGGCCTCTCAGGCCCTGCTGATACCTCCTGGGGGCTCTGTGAGTTTTCAGAGAGAACACAAGAACCCTGGCCAGGAGAGGATCATTGATCTCGGGCCTTGGGGGCAATAGAGCTGAGCCAGGCCTCATAAGGAGGCTGCCCAGGCAGGAGGAGCAGTGTGTGCGAGGCAGATGTGTGGAAGGGGGCAGCATGGGTGGGGTACATTGCTCAGGAGTGACACCCACACTGACCATAATGTACTGACGTGCAGCCTGAGGCCCGCTGGAGCAGCAAGCAGGCTGGGCCCAAGTCCAGCCAGCAAGGTCTCCTTTTCTTTTGTCAGCCTGGGGAAGGACGGCACCTTGGATGAGGATGAGGATGAAGAGGAGGACTTGGAGGAAGGCTCGGGGGCTAAGCGCCAGAGTGTCGAGGTGAAGGCTCACCAGGCCTCGCACACCAAGTACCTGCTGATGCGAGGGTACTGCGCACCTGGTGCTGTCAGCACACGCAACCTCAATCCCAATGACAGCGTTGTGGTCAACTCCTGCCAGGTGAAGTTCCGGCTCCGCAGCACCGCCATTCCTGCCCGCCTTGGGCCCCTCAGTAAGTGTCCTGCTACAGCTGGGATGGCCCTGAGGCCTGTCCTGGGACCCAGCCCAGGCCCACACACCTCCAGGCAGAAGGCAAGTGCACAGTGACCTGAATACAGAGAAAAACACCGTCCTAGGAGAGCTCACAGCAGCCTCCGTAGTCCAGAGGGGGCTCTGCCCACTGGGCCTCCACAGGCAGCCTGAGTCCTACACTTTCATTGCATTGTTAGGCCTGGTCCTTTGACACCTTGCCGTGAAAGACGAGGATGCAGCTTCCATTCATGACCTCCCCGTCCTTTACTGCTGATTTTGACACTCCCCTCCCCCTCCCCCACCCTCGGCCAGCCTTTCTGCCAGCATGGGTGAGGTTGATTATATGCTCTTGGTTTTGTTACCATAGTCAGAATTGTGTGCTTGGACCTGGCAAGAATGTAGTGATAATCTGTGGACTGTGGTCTTAGCAGATGCCTTTTATAGGAGGCAAGAGAAACCTGACAGGAATGTTCTGGAAGGGGCTTGGGTGTCTCCCAGGGTTAAAGAGCTGAGCATGGGAGCCACAGGAAGGGACTGGCCCAGAATAGCCAGCTGAAGCCTCCCTTTCAGAGCACTGGTTATTAGCGTTCACAGGCCTTCTCCGGCCTGGCCTCTGTGTCCAAGCACTGGTTTTGTCAGCCACTGTGGGGAGAAGAAGGTCCAGTCCAGGAGCTGCATTCAGAAGCCCAGGGTCACAGAGCCTGACTGCCAAGGCTGTGTGCCCTCCAGAAGGTGACCCCATGGCCCTTCTGGGAGAGCAAGTTGATTCTGTCGCAGTCCCGCCTCAGGGTAGCACATGTGTTGGTCTGGGAGTGAGACTTTTGCTGGTCCTCACAGCTACTCCTCTGGAAGAGCTCGCCGTGGGAACCTCCTGCCTCCCGGACACCTTCACCAAGCTGGTGGACCCCCGAGAACACACCTGCGGCATGCAAGAGTTTGCCCGGCGGGTGGCACTTCTGGGTATAGCCCTGAAGATGTGTCTGCCGCCCTGGAGATCTGGGGCACTGTCACTGCTGCAGGCCAGTTTGGGATTGACAAGGAGAAGCTGAGCAGAGAGTTCTCAGCCTTGGAGAAGGCAGGGGGCAAGCGCACCAGGATGTTCTCAGACTACATCCAGGTGAGCCATGCTGCAGGCGAGGGGTGCTAAAGCAGAGCTTGCTCTCACAGGCCAGATGTGCTGCAGGTGGGCTTGGCAGTTGGAGGATTTTTTTAAAAAACTGAATTAGTTGGCAAGAGCTCCATCTTCTCTCAAATGTTAGAACTGTCTGAGCCCAGCAGCACTGCCCCTCTGCAGGACAGATAGCATCCTTTTGGCTCTTACCGCCCCCACTTCTCCCTGGCCCCTTGGATCTGATGGATTCTCTACTTCACCCACCTTCTCCCCTGGACTCAGTGACCCTTGAACCCAAAGAATGGCTAGGCAGAGGTGTCTCTGGGACCAATTTGTTGTCATGCACCTGTCAGCAGCTGCTGACTGGCAGGATGTGGGTCAACAGCTAGTGGTACCATGAAGACTTCCGCCCTGCAGTCTTTGTGTGGGACAAGGGGCCGGCTTAGGCCTCTGAGGGCTGGGAGACCCGGGGATAGATGGGTGCTACAGGGAATTTATCAAGTCAGTGTGGTCACCCCAAGCTCTGTGAATACTAGGATACTGTTGTTCAGAGCCCGAGTGGGATGAGGACTTTCCACAGCCAGAGCAGGAGAGCCCAGGGGCCAGATCCCACTTGTCATCACAGGACACTGTGTCACACAGCTCCCACTGCCCTAGTGCCCTGCCAGGACTCTAGCTAGGGAGCACATGCAGTCACCTGAGATCTGGATGGTGGGCTTTATGTAAAGTAAGAAGGGTGGAGGTGGCCCCTACCCTAGACAGGAGCACATTCTAGACATGGACTAGGACACGGGAAGCAGGGTGTGGCAGAAGCGGGAGGGAGCTCTTGCCACTTGAGTGGGAGCAGTGCCCACCTTGGTGAAGGAACATGGTGGATCTTAGGGGTCAGGACACTTGTGGGGTCCTGTCACCTCTGGGCACAACACTGCTACTGCAAGGGCCACATAGAAGCTAGGGAAGGAAGGACTCTGTCTTATGGAACTGGGTTTATTGCGTGCTCCAGATGCTTGATGTATCAGGGAGCACAGCCTTGTTACCCCCTGAGCAAACCCCGCAGTCCTGATCCCAGACAGACCCGTGTGTCCTGCTTTTCTTAGGACCTCTTGGAACAGCACCAGGTGCTGGAAGTTGGTGGCAACACCGTCCGCCTGGTGTCCATGACCCATGCAGAGCCTTGGCTCCTGCACTCTGTGCGGCTGAGGGGTGAAGAGGACGGAGCCGAGGCTCCAGGGGAAGACGCCCAGTTCCAGCCTCCTGAGAGGCCTGCCACTGAGGACAATGCCCCCGAGGGCCCAGCCATGCTTCCCCAGAGCAGCAAGCGGCGTGCCCGCTCAGCCAGTCAGAGCAGTGAGGCTGACTCTGAGGGCACCCTGAAGCCCCCTGCAAAGAGGCTCACGCTCCAGGACGTGCGTCTGGTCCCCATCCCTGGGCCCAGGTCAGAAGAGAGGGTGGAAATTCCAGCCCCAGCTCTTCCCCTGGCTCCTGAAGACACAGATGCAGAGGACCCCAGGCAGGAGGACCAGGAGGCTGTAGGAGACCCCAGCTTCCCAGGCCAGGAGCAGCTGAGCTGTCAGGCCCAGCATCCAGAAGACACTGAAGACCCCAGAGGTACTGACCTTGACCTCACCCACCTGGCCCCAGCCCTGCCCTCAAATGTGTCTCCACCGGAGGGTGGCGGCCCCAGCCTTCAGCCAGCTACAGTTTGGTAATGTCTGATGCACCCCTTGAGTTCTCTGAACAGAGACTGCACTCGCTGTTGTCCAGCAGTGGCAGGGCCTCCCCCAGAGCCTGCCCTATGGTCAGGGCTTCAGGGTGGGAAGTGAGGTGTTCACTGGCTTCCCCTGGCATGAGGGGGCCTGGAGAGGTTGCAGCTCCATCTGCCCACTGTATGTGTCTGACTGCAGCCTTCCTGGCCCCCTACCCCATGCTTATCACTATCCTAAGGGTCACTGCTTGCTTTGGCGGGAACCTAAGTGAATGTGAGGAGGTGGAGATGGGCAGCCTGCCACCCTCTAAGCCACTCCCATCTTTGCCTCCCCCTCAGGGCTCACAGAAAGCCATGTGGCCAGTGGTCCCTCCCAGGCAGCTCGGGAAAGGTAAGTGGGGGGTTCCCACAGCTGTGTCATTGCCCTGGCCTTGGCAGAGTCTGAACCTTGTGTCCCAGCTCCCAGAGCCATGAGAATAGCTAGTCGGTAGCCTGTCACACATGTAGGCTCTGGTCGTCCAGCCAGCCCTTCTCAGTAGCAGCTTCATCTAGAGGCAATGCGCCTGCACACAGCACCGGCAAGCTCGGTGGGAATATTCTGACCTCATCCTTCTGCTAGTGTGGAGTGACACAGGGTCAATGGTTGAGCATGACCTGGCTCATGGCGCAATGTCAGCAGGTCCTCACGTGTAGCCTCTCTCAGCCAGAGACTGTGGGCCCCTTCACCCTGATGATAGGGAAGCGGGGGGGACCAGAGAGCAGTGACCACCTTAAGCATCCTGTTCCTGAGCCTGCCAGTGACCAAGGACCCCTCTTTGTCCCACCAAGCCCTCACCTAACCATCTGTCCCACAGTGACTGTGAGAGTATCTGCTTCATCGGCCGCCCATGGCGTAGCGTGGACGGTCACCTGAACTTGCCAGTGTGCAAGGGTATGATGGAGGCAGTGCTGTACCATGTCATGAGCAGGCCTGGCGTTCCCGAGAGCTGCCTGCTGCAGTACTACCAGGGCGTCCTGCAGCCTGTTGCTGTGCTGGAGCTGCTCCAGGTGGGGCCCTGCCCAGGTTTGAGCCCATGCCTTGGGGTAGACATGCTGGGTGGGCTGGGGATGGGGGAAGGAGCAGCATAGAGAGCCAGGCTCCCAGGGAGCCCAGTGCTTACCTTTGGCTCCCTCTAGCCCTCAATAGAAGGCTCTGCATGTTGTCTCCGAGGCCCTGGCAAGGAGTCCCAGCAGGGGCAAAACTACACTGTGGCACTGTGGAGCCTGGCTCTCAGCCCCTCCCTCGGCCTCCTGCATCCACACCCACCCTGGGCTCTGGTACCTCTGGCTGTCCTATATAGCACCCTGCACCATTCCTAGGTTTCTGCCAAGCTGAAGTAGTGTCCTAGGGCTCCTGTGCCTGATACTTGCTCTGTACCAGGATCACATGTCACAGCCCTTAGGATAGCCGGGCCCATGTGTCCCCAGCTGTGGCTGCCCTGAGTTCACACAGCCCAGAGTCCTGGGGCTCCAGCTCCTGACAAGCTGGGAACTTTAAGGTTTGGTGTGAGAGTTCTTGAACTTGTGAGCACATCCAAGCGGAGAACGCCCTGGAGGCCAGGTTGCCCATGGGCCAGTGGCAGCTCCTCCTGTACTGTCCTTCAGAGATCTCTGTTCCCATGTGGCCCCAGTCCTACACAGTGCCACCCACACCATCCTCCTTCCTGCCTGAACCTCCTGCTCTGGGAAGCCGCTCTGATGTGTGCCATAAATGTTTGAAGACATTTATGTCTTCAACCTCCCAGACAGGAGGTTGGTACTCACGTAACCTGTGTCCATGTCTTCAGGGCCTTGAGTCCCTCGGCTGCATCCGGAAGCGTGTGCTGAGCAAGCCGGCAGCAGTCTCACTCTTCTCCAGGCCTATGGCAGAGGAGGCAGAGGAGGTGACACCTAGCCTGAGCGAGAGCTCCACTGTCTTTTATGAGCCCACTTTGGACTGCACCATCCGGCTGGGCCGAGTGTTCCCCCACGATGTCAACTGGAACAAGTGGCTACACTTCTAGGGACCTGTGCTCATCCCACCTGCAGCTCTGGGAGCCGGGAGAGCTTTGGTCCCTCCACTCCTGAGTCCTGGGCACCCTGGGGCTACCATGGCCTCTCTGAACCCAGGCTCGGGGAGTATAGCTACCCTAGAGGACTTGGTCCCAAGGGCTTCGGAGAGGTAGCTGCATCTTGGGAGCAGAGCTGAGTCACCTCCCAAGCCCAGAGCCTCTGCCCACCTCATAGTTGTCATTTGTCCCTACTACCCAGGCCAGATTCCAGCCACCATGGCCAAGTGGCACAAAGAGGAAGGGCCTTATGTTGCAGAACAGGGCCCATCGGAGCCTGTGGCTCCTCTCCAAGGCAGGATGTCCCAATTCTGAGGTCTGGAGTGAGTCCCCAGAGGGGAGCCCAGGATCCCCTGGTAGCTTGGCAGGGGCAGCTCTCTTCTTAGTCTGTAGATGGAAATGAGACCCTCTAGGTTTTGGTTCTGTTTGTTTTATCTTGTTATTTCTTTCTTGTTTTATTTTGCTCTTTCTCATTTAAAAACTAGTCCCAGGCGTGTTTGTATTTATTTTTTAATTAAACTGAAGTCAGATGTGTTTAGTTTGTGTATTTCCCCAACTGTTGATTCCCAAGAGGACCACTGCTTTCCACCCAGAAAAGGCCAAGGTGCAGGGAAGCCCTGGTCCTGAGTGTGGGGAGGCCCTGGCCAGCTGCCTCAGGAGCAGGTGAGAGCTGGACCTTCATTGCCCACCCCCTCGGAGGCTCCCAGTCCTGCCCTGCCTGCAGGAGACCTTGGTTAAAGTTCTTTTTAGCTCACATTTAAATTGTTTTAGTTAGTTGCCAACAGTTATAATTTTTGAAATTTTCACATTTAGAAAAAATCCAGATTTCTTTCTTTTGAAAATGCAGAGTTGTAGCAATGGGGGACTTGCCCTCTGTCCATGACACTCAGGAGTGCTGGGCAGGGGCCACTCTGCAGGTAGCATAAGCCTCCCCAGCCCCAGGTCCCCCTGTCCTGCCCATATCCCATGCTACCAAAGCTCTCACAACCCTGTGGGATGTGGCACCTGTGGGCCCTGAGCTGGCAGCCCTGTCAGCCCCTCCCACTGCTGGGGCCAGACTCCTGTGAGGAGGACAAGGATGTACTCAATGCTGGTGAAGCCATCACGACCAGGACAAAGCCTGGCGTCCTTTCTTTTTGTCTTCATGGAAGTGTAGAACAGTGTTCTGCACTGAGGAGGCTGGTGAGGCAGGGCAGCACAGGATTGAGGAGGCTGGTGAGGTAGGGCAGCACAGGTGAGCTTTATCAATAAGACGTGCATGCACTTGGTGTTTGGAACCACGTTGTATGTGGAAGGAGAAATGCAGATGTGGGAGCCCTGCAGCTGTGTTTAGTGGAAAATACTGGTCTTGATCTTCAGCCCTGAGCTTTTGTCTCCTTGGTGAACACCAGGTGTGGGCACCCAGTAGCACTTGACATTCCTCTCCTGAGTCTCCGACGTGAGGGGACAGTGTGGACATGTGTATGGAGAAGGGACACGGACTCAGTACTGCTCTCAAGCAGGGACACAGAGCTCTGTGAACACTCCATGTTCACACAGCTGTTCTGCTCAAGGGTGAGCTCTAATCCCACTCCTTCCCTCTGCCCCTCAATGCCCCGTCCCACCCACCCAGCACCCATTCATCCACCCAAACTAGCTCTGTCCCTCCAAGCTCTGCACAAAGGCTTCCAGAAGCCACATGCAGACTTGCCATGCGCTGCAGCGCCTCCAGGGGCTGAGCAAATTAAATACTGGGAGCAGTAGTGTAAGAGAACTTGTGTGCCTGGGCTGTGAAGCACTTGAAATTCAAAAGGAAAGAGTGCAAAACCCATGGAGGGCAAATTTGGGTCTGCTGCCTGCTTGCAGCCACCAGAGCCACCTGCATTCCTCACAACTGGCTGGCCACCCGCAAAGGCTTAGACACCCTTGGCTTTGTATCCTCAGTGTCCCTCCCCTCTGCAGCCACTTAGATAAGCAATGTGTGACTCCATTCTCCCCTACACACTGAAAACCCTCCAGACGTGCCTCAGGCTTCCAGGCCACTTCCGGACTCTCAGGCCCTTCTGCATATACCCCGAAATGTCCCATCAGTGCAATTCACTCTCATCACTCCAAAATGTCCTTGTCCGCATCTAGGCACAGGGAGCCACCCGGAGACTGGCAGAGTACCTCCAGAATTGATGGCCTGACCTTCACACTCATTCCCTCTTCTGGCCACCCAACCCCCACAGACCACACTTCATGCAGTGTCCTCCGTGGGCTCGGCTCCCTTCCAAGCTGTTCTCAGATCTTGTTCCTTCTGCTGTTGCCAGAGCTCCTCCCTCTCCTCCAGCCCCCTTTCCCCTTTCACATCGTGATGAGGGATGTGAGCGCGACCTCCGAGCTCCCATCCTTCCCTGGGACCCGGACTCACTGTCACCAGGGCTCCTCCAGCTGTGTCTGCACGTACACATGTGTACAGACAATCACTCTGCTTAGTGGGAGCCCCAACCCCACCCCACAGGGCCCGCAGAGCTAAAAAGGAGGTGCCAGTCCACCTCCTGTTTCCCTGCCACAACCTCTCTGGAAGGCTGCTGGGACAACTGTCCTCTGGCCAATGCACACAAGAGTCCCCTTCCTTTTGAACAGCCAGGAGGGCACCACCTTCCAAAAGCCCCTGCCAGTTCCTGTGCTCAGCAGCAGAGGGCAGCAGCACCCAAGCATCCTTGTTTCCTGATGACTGCATCTGGTTGTGCTTTTGTCCACTCATGTATAAAGATGGGGTCAGCAAGAACGTCCCGAAAAGATGATGGTGTAACAGCAGCAATGCTTTCCGAGTGCTTGCAGTGCGTCCAGCCCTTCACACATAACGCCTAGTCTTGCTGGCTCTTAGAAGTTTGTGTGACCCGTATACTCCATGTAGAAGAGGTTAAAGTAAGGGCTGGCAGAGTGGCTCGAGTGGTAGAGCACCTGCCTAGTAAGTGTGAGGTCCTGAGTTCAAAACCCAGTGCCGCAAAAAAAAAAAAAAGCTTCTTTGGACTGCAGATGTGGCTCAAGCAATAGAGCACCTGCTTTGCAAGCATGAAGCTCTAAGTTCAAACCATAGTTACAAAAAATGGCAGTGGTGCGTAGCTTCCACAAAGTTGGAAGCCAGTAGCTGGGTCGGCTGGCATTCCAACCAGACCTCCTGCCTTAGAGCCCCAGCCTCACCCTAGGACGTTCTGTTCCCTAGGTTGGCTCCCTGAAGAGCACAGGGTCAAGGTCTCTTCTCTGAGGCCATCAATTTGAGAAAGAAAGAGGTGGAGGGAAGACCCCCAAGCTGCCCCATGGTCTGAGCAGGGAGGGGCTCTTCCCATGTTTACAGACTTCATTTCATGCCCCATTCTGGGCCATTTGCAGGTCTGGGGCAGACACTCGCTGGTCTCTGCCCAGTGCTTCGTCAGCCTCTGTTCTGCCACTGATGGACTAATCGGCTCCTTCACTCCCTCCTGTTAGGCACCCTTCTAGGCTCTCACACATAGCACTCACGGGGACAGGGACTGACTAAATACAACTCACAATGATGGAAATTATTAGAGTGGAGTCAGTCTTACGGCAAAGAGCAAAACCAAGCCAGGGGTGTTGCACTTTGGAACAAGCGTACAGTCAAGGCAGGGTCCCCTAAGAAGGGGACATGAAAGCAGACTGGACTCCGCCTCTCCCTTCCACAGATGGCTCTGGCTGTGGACTCTGGGCTCCCAGGAAATGTGGTGTACAGCTCGCTCACCACCCATCTTCCCCTGGAACCATGCGGGTTCTCACAGTGCGCCTCTGGCTAAATGGGCCACCAAAGGCCCTGGTGACCTGCAGCCCTGGAGAGGAGGCCACACAGCTCATGGAGTGGGTGAATGAACTCAGGACAAATTGCTGCCTCTCTCCAGGCCTCTGTTTCCTCGGTGGCAGGGGAGGGAGGTGAGGGGGAGGAGGTTGGGTCTGATTTCTCCCCGTGCCTTTCTGCACGAGAGCCCCTGGGACCCCAGGCAGCATCCTGGGTGGGAACCATTAGTGGTTGGGGTTTTTCGAATCCTGGCAGAAGCCACGTGAGCCTCTTGAAGCAAGGCCATGTGAGCCTCTTGAAGCAAGGCAGCTTCAAGAACTGTGTGAGGACAGCAGAGGACATGAACCCTCCAACTCAAACCCGGAGCCAAGCTCAGGGCGAGGACGGAAAGAGAACACCCACATCTAAGGAGGGCTGTTGTGTGTCTCTTCCTGTCCCCACCCTCTTCTCATCTCCAGAGAAAGTGGAGAGGCTCATTCCTGTCCTGTCCCCACTTTACAAAAGGGGAAATTCAGAGACACCTTGCCCTGGTCATTTATGAGAAGTGTTAGTCTGGTCCCTGGGTCCCTTTGCTAGGCAAGTGGTCTAACTCTGAACTACACCCTTGGGCCTCTCAGGTCCCTTTGGACTAGTTCTCATTTCAGGGATGATACTGGGAGAATATTAAAACATTTTCTGCTGAAAGTAACAGGAGCGCACCTCACACCGGCTTAAACACTGAGAAGAGATAGATCAGCGCCATGCAGTCAGGACTGTGCCATGTAACAAACAGCCCCATCTTAGCAGCTGGGAATAACAAGAGATGGTTTGGGGCTCACAGTACATGTCCATCACAGGTGTGCTGGAAACTCTCAGAAACACTGTGGTGGTCTAAAAGTGAGGCTTGGCTGTTCATTTTACAGCTCCTTGGCTACTCCTGGTCATGTGACCCCATCTAACTACAAGGTCAGGAAGTCCAATCCTGGCATGTGCCCAGGAGGCCAAAATACTGAGTGAAGAGCATAATGGATTTCATACTTATGTGTGTCAAAAGTGCAGGGGGCAAGAGGTTTCAGGCATGGCTGGATCCAGGAGCTCAGGAGCTATTGCCAGGAATAGATCCCCTCTGCTTTCGTGTGTTGTCTTCATCTGGGGCAAGTAACTTCCTCCTATGTCTCCCAGAAACTGCAGGCTTGGTCCCTCCCTCCAGCTCCTCAATCCCAGCAGAAGAAGCACAAGGCAGGCAGGTCACACGTCTGCCCCTGAGCTATATACATTCTGCGACTGGAGGATGAAGTGGTCAAGTGGCCAAGCCTGTGTCATGCAGCCACCCCCACAGCTGCTGACCAGGCAAAGCAAGAGGCACCTCCAGTGTTTGCAAGGAGATTTCTACCTCTGCATCTGGCCCCTTCCAGCAGCGCAAGGTAAGCAAGGGCTGGAATGGGGTCAGGAGAGCAGAGCCCAGGTGCTGACTCTGACCAGACTTCGGCAGGTCACTGGCCCATTCTGGCTTTTTCATCATCTGTCCAGTTGATAGCCTGCAGGAGGCAGAGGCTGGGTGAAGAGTGGACCCAGCATCCAGCAGAAGGTGTGCCTTGGAGTCCCCTTTTCAGAGTGTCACTTAAAATTCAGCTCTGGACTTGTGACAAGGGCCCTCAGTGCTCCCTGGCTCTCAGTGGCACCTCCAGCCCTTCCCTGGAGTAGCTGTTGCCCCGCCCTTTCCAAAGTCCAACAAACACCCCCCCCCCCCCCGCCCGAGGTCCCTGCCCCGTGCTGCCTCTTGCTGGGGCAGCCCATGGTGACATGTCCTTCTCAACTCGGAGTTCAGAGATGTCAGGTTCACAAGCTTGAAACTGGCTGCGGTGGGTGGAAGAACACACCGTGGAGATCAATTGATGCTACAAACCAGGCTTTATTAAGTGCCTACTGTGTGCCGACTGGGAATTAAGCGGTGACAAGAAAAGCTGTCGCCCTGTGGAGCTCACTTGGGCCATCTGCCACCTCTGCCTGACACCTGTCCAGCTGTCCCTCCACCCAGCCGGCTGTTCTTCCTTCATGCTTCTCGCCATCCTTGCATCCCTCTACTTGTCCACCCTCCCTCCAACCAGCTAGATGGTCCAACTTTTGGCACCCACGTTCATGAGCTACATCCCCCTCAAAGACAGAGCTGGCAAGCTGTCATGCTTGCCCTAAACCAGACCCCCGGCCTGGCCTCTGTCCCAAGCTTCCCTCCTCTCCATACCCCGGTGTATGTCTATGTGCTGGAGAGCTGAGCTGGTTTTCTGGGGAGCCCTCAGCTCAGGTGACACCAGCAGGTGGCTTCCACCCCAAGAAGGTGTGAAAACCACACACAGACACCTGGGCCCAAGTGTCTCTGGGGTGCAGGTGGGGGTGTGCTGCCCACACTTGCAGGAGCTGTGGTTTCTGTCTCTTGTGCCCCTCAGAGCCTCACACACCCTGATCTTAGGCACACAGCCCCGCTACTAAAAACCACCAGTGTTCTAGAACGTTCCAGCTCACACATTCCCTCAGCAAAGTCTCTCTGCTCTCCAGAGGTGTTCTGGGGAAACTCCCAGCCCTATGCTGCCTGGAACAAAGACAGGAGAGTGCCGGGGAGGACACTGGGCCCAGATGGGTCCCGGCCAGGGAACCCACAGCCTCCTGGGCTGATCAGGCTGCTACCTCTACCTTGCTTGGCAGTACAGCTACTCTTGTACCAAGCTGGTGTTCCGCAGGGCACTGCCTGAAGAAGAAGCGTGTACTTAGCTCCATGGTTCACATTTCCACAGGTCCCAAGACGTTCTGGGGAGCATCCTGACTCCCCACGTTCCCAGGATGAATAAAGAAGAAGCCAGGAGTGAATGGGGTGCAGGGGTGGGAGAGCGCTGGAGTGTTGGGGTTTGTTCCTGTCCCTTCCTCTAGGTGTCTTCTGTCCACCGTGACTCCCAGAGGAGTCCCAGTGGAGGACACGGAGCTCCACTAAAATATCCCCGATGCCTGACTTATGCTTGGTTGCTTGATAAATATTTTTTGGGTAGAGAGCAGAAGCCAGAAAAAGAAACCTCGGCTGGTGGGGGCTGTTTCTGGGAGACAAGGCTGAGTGGTTTGAAGGCTGGAAACCCCCAAGTGTCCCTCCACAGCGGGGACACCCTCTAGGTGCCCAGGCTGCTGGTGTGGGCTGTTTTCTCCCCCTGCCACCTCCCACGTGCACCTCTGTCCTGGAAGGCTACAGAAGGCAGAAAGCTGGTGTTCATGGAGGAGCCACTGGGGGTGGCACACTGTGAGAAGTTGACTTGCTGAGTTCCTGGGTCAGACTATGCCATCCCCACTGTCCAGACAAGGAAGCTGGCGCAGGGACTGGATGTGACTTGTCTCAGGTTGCATAGACTTAGAGCTGGGACTCAGACAGACCTATGTCCCTGGGCCCCCCAAATCTTCCCACCTGTAGGGTCACTGTGGGCTCACTCTGCCCTGTCCCCTTCTTGATGAGAGGTGGCAGGAACTGTCTAGACTTCTTTGGCTCCTGGGGGACCGGGCTTGGTATCTGCCATGGGCAATGCCCTGTCTGCAACAGCCTGGCCCAGCCTCCCCTAAAGTGGCCCACAGCTGTCCCCACCCTCCGCCATGTGCCCTCAAGGGAGGGAGCTGTGATCTTGTCCGACAGTCACCCTTGCTGCTCACACTCGTGCACAGGAGGAGCTGATGCAGGCAGACACAGCACAGCAGTGCGTGGCCACGCTCCCCGTCCATGGGCACACGTATTGCTGGTGTGCGTGGGCATGTCAGCACACACCCAAGCCACACACACAGACACACTGTAAACATCAGACTCAGAGACCAAGCAAGAGACCCAACATCATGGCTTCTTCACATCACAGCCAGGTGACTGTCTCTGGCTAGTGGCCCAGTGACGTGGCCAGCTCTGGACAGCCATCAGCCTTGCTAGCTGGCCTGGGGCCCTAGGCCTGCAGGTGGGGGTGGCCTGAGCACCCACTGGCGGATGTAGCTTCTTGGGGGCCCTTCATCTGAAGTGCCTGCAAAGTCACATTCCACAGGGCTACCACAGTCCGAGCCCGCAAAGCCACTGTCAAAGGTGTCCATGTCCAGGCCTGCTGGGGGAGAGCCCGCCTCGCTCTCAGAGACCCCAGCTGAGGGCCCACCTGCCCAAGGCGGCCTCGAGGCCCAGTCCTCATCCTCAGCAAGAGGCAACTTCAGGAGGCCATCCAGCCTGGGGCCACCTGCCGAGACACAGCCGCAGGAGAGGAATGTGGGCCCTGTGCCCAAGAGCAGGGCCTCTGGGCCAGGGCCAGGCTCCAGGCTAGCATCTAGGTTCAGGGCTGGGTAGCCGTCATCCCCACAGGTGCAAGGACAGGCACATGGTCCCTCTGCGTCCTTTACGGTCACTGTGTCGATGGAGACCATGCCATACGGCCGGTCCTTCTCCTCACTGTAGGAGGCTGAGCCCCCTAGGCTGCCAGCTGCAGATGGGGCTAGGCCCCAGGAGCCTGGCTCCGGTGCCCCGTCACTCTCCAGCAGGTCCGCTGGCTCTGGCAGCCCCTTGGCTGGAGCCTTCAATGGAGGGCAGTCATACGTCTGTAGGGCCAAGGCTACGGCTGGGCTCCCAGGCCCCAGATCCAGGCTGGAGGCACTGAAGGGGGCTCCGACCCACTTCTGTGAGAGAGGAACAAAGATGGAGTCACGGGGGTGGGAAGTGGACAGATAGAGCCAAAGACAGAGACAGACACATGGACAAAGAGATAAGCTGGAGACAGCAAGAGGGAAGGGACAGAGAGAAAAGAGTTAGGACCATAGTGTGTCTAGTGCACCCCCCCCATCCCTTCCCCATTCTGTACCTCCGTGACCCCACCTGCAGTAGGGGCTGGCTGCCCTCAGGTGCCTGCTCAGATACCCAATGGCGTGGGCTCACGCCTTTGGAGTACAGAGCAAGACTCCCGAGTGTTGGGGACATGGTGCAGGGGTCCCCTGACCCCTGGTGTACTTCCTCTTTGACAAGTCTCGTGCTCTTGCTATGTGTCCCCCTTAGAGTGGACACTCAGCCAGGACAGAAGTCTCTGTTCATGGCTGCGTTTCCAGTGTCTGGCATACAGTAGGTGCACATTAATGCTTGTGGACTAAATGGATGGGAGGAGCAATCACTAGCGTCGACAGCAGCCCTTAAGCCTTCAGCTCCTTCCCTCCTTCACCTGCCAGTCCTAGCTATGACACAGAGCCTGCATCCAGCCGGCAGGGACAGTCCCTGAGAGCAGACGCCTCTTAGTTCTGAGCAGACCCCACTCAGAAAACCTAGCTCAGAGCCACCGTGTGCCACCACCCCTGATTTGTATTTTCTTCTTAGCTGTGTGACCTTAAGTTAGTTCCCTGCCTTCTCTGTGCCTGTTTCCTCATCTATGAAATGGACCCACCCAGGCAGTACCATACGATTGAGTTAACGACAGGAAGCTCCTGACAGAGGGTGCTGGGAAGAACTGATAAAATTAACACAAAATAGATGTGGTATTTGCGCTGCAGGGAGAAGAAAAGGGTGGGTTGGAGACCAAACTCTGTCTCGGGAACCTCACCCTCCTTCGGGGTCTTGGGTGTGGGGCCCACCCCACAGGGGTGCTTTGAGCGTGGGAGGCGGTGGTGCTAGGCAGACAGCAGGAGCACAATCAATACTTTAATAGTCTGACTTCCAGGCTGGGCTGGAGCAGGGGCACTGCCCCCACCTGTCACCACATCCTCTCTGCCCCCACCCCCAGTCCTCCTGGGTGTTGAGCAGACACCCTGAGGGTGGCAACAGGTGGCTGGGGCTGAGTACATCATGGGCGGGGCCAGCACCTCTCAGAGCTCTCTCCCTCCCTCCTGCAGAACAGACACTGACGGAAAACCCAGGGTCCCCTTGTGCCTCGGGGGCCCAGGCTCACCCCTCCCTCGGTGTGGCTCCTTGGGCTGGGAGCATGTCCATGGTCTTGTCGAAGCTCTGTACCCCAGGTATCTCTGTCTGCAGCTTGCAGCCAGGGAAACTGAGGCTGGGTGCTCTGGCCCACAGAGCAGGGCTGGGGTTTTGGAGTGGGGTGGGGTGGGGTGGGGTGGGACTCTAGAGAAAGCAAGAGGCCCAGAGGGCTCATGCCAGGGTGGGCTTACCTTGAAGTCCCCACCATGGCCCTCGTACAGTGACTGGAAGAAGCGCTCTGGGCTGGGCACTGGTGCCCACAGTCTCTTCCACAGCCTGTGAGGACAGAGGGGTGAGGACCCCCTGGCAACCATAGGGTGGCCTGGCTTCCCATACAAACACCCCACACACTCCTTTGTCCCTGCAGGAGAATCAACACCTTCCCCAGCCCGGGCACCTCCCCTCCCCCAACCAGGGCCTCAGTTTCCACATCTGTAAATGGGAGCTGTGAGTCTCTCTCAGCTTCTGGTAGATGCGTGGAGCCCGCGGCCCCACAGTCTATTGCATTCAGGCAAATGCAGCCCCTTGAGCCTCACCTTCCTACACCAGGGGTGGGCAGAGAGCCAGCTCCTCAGGCCAGGGAGGGCTCAACGAGGGGACCCGCACCTGCGCTGCAGAGGCCACGTGTGACTGGCATCCTCCCACCCCCGCCAGGGTCTCTGCCTCTCTTTATCTTAGCGTTGGTTGAAAAGCAAAAAGTGCTGGGTGCTGAGCCCTGTGTACAGGCTGGCTGCTGTAGTTCCCAGCCCAGCCGGCCACAGCCTCAGCTTCGGCCAGTGTGGCTGCCCTTTCTTTCTCTCAATGGCACAGAAAGCCCACACATAAAACGGACCAGATGAAACCCTCCAGTTCAGGCAGAGGGGCTAGGGAGGGCTGGAGGATCACATCAGCTCCTCCACCCGCTCCTGGCAGCCCTCAGGCCTCAAGGCTCAAAATTCATTGGACAAGGTCCCAGCAGGGGTGAAGAACGCAAGGTTGTAATCCCTCCTATTCACTTCATAGCTGTGTGACTTTGGGCAAGTTTGTGACTGCTCTGTGCCCTAATTCTCCCCATTGTAAAATGGAGGTAACTGTGGTGTCTCAGGCTCATAGATTGGGCTGCTAGGAGAGTGAAATGAGTGCTCTGCACAATGTCTGGTGTGCGGTTATTAATGTCACCATTGTCCCCAACCCTGGAGGAGGGTCTTGCTTGAGAGGCTATAGTCTAAGCTGGTCCCTTCCCTGCCCCCCCTGAGCCCCTGAACTCACCTCCAAGGCAGGTGGATCTTCAGGCCCAGGAAGATAATAAGGATGGGCATCACGAAGACCAAAGGCAACAGCAGCAGAAGGGGATCCCAGCCTGCCTTGGGCTCTGCAGAGAAAGCAAACTGTGAGTCTCACTGAACCAACCTCTCCCAAAGGCCACACGGGGCGGGCGTGGGAGGAAACCTGCCTGGGGTGGAGGAGGAAGGGAGGGATCTGGGTTCAGATTCTGCTCTCACTCTGCTATAGTGTTATCTGGAATGTCCTCAAAGGCCCATGTATTGTACGTTTGTGACACTATTGGGAGATGATGGAGGCTTTAGAAGGTGGGGACAAGTGGGAGGGAGTTAGGTTATTGGGGGCATGCCCTTGAAGGTGACATTGACACCCTGCTCCATTCTCTCTTTCTTTGCATCCCATCTAGCCTGATGTGAGCAAGCCTCCTCTGTCATGAGCTTCCACCATGATGACTGGGCTGGCACAGGCCCAAAGTAACAGGGCCAAGGGAACATGGGACAAACCCACTGAAACTGTGAGCCAAGGTAAATTTTTCCTTCCTGAAGGTGATTATCTCAGGTTCTTTGCTACAGTGACTAAGACCCCTCCCCCACCCCCCGGGCAGTGACATCATCTCTCTGAGCCTTAATTTTCTCATCTGCTAAACAGGGACAATGATCCTCGCTTCAGAATTAGGAGGGCCAAATGTCCAGGTGAGGAAGCAGCCGGCACCCAGCTCAGGGCCTGGTGAGCTGGGGCCCAGAAATGTTGAATGGCCACTGCTGGCAATGAATGACTAAAGACGCTCCTCAGAAATCTCAAGGCCCAGGGTGACTGGACCAGAATAGGAGGAGGGTCCCTTCAGCTTCACACCTACCTTCCACCTGAGTCTGGAAGGTGACTGGTTCACTCCACTCGCTCCAGGTCCCCCGGAAGGAGGTGCCAGGCTGGGGCCCTGCCCGCACCTGTAGTGTGTAGGTCGAGCCTTTGTGAAACTCCCCAGGGAGAAGGGAGACACTTCTGGAGTCCACTGAGATCAGCTTTGTCACTGGACTCTGTCAGGACAGAAGGATGCCCTGGTCAGGGGGTCACCCAGGCCAGCCCTTGCCTCCAGCAGACCCCCTCCCCCCAGTCAAAGGGACTGATGTCCCTTCTCCAGCAGGAGTCAGGACACCCAAGCAGGGCCAGCATAGAGCTCTTGGCACTGCCTGGCTCACAGTGGTGACAGGTAACAAGCTTCCTTTGGTTTCTCTTTGGGTCCGGCTCACCCATTCTCAGTCCTGGTGGCAGACCCTCCTTGCAGGGACTAAGAATGTGTCAGGAGTGACCGAGGGCACTACAGGGCATCATTCCCTACAAGTCTCCCACACAGTGGTGACCTGGGGATTCTGTGACAGCTGGGGACCATGTCCATGGACATATGGACATCTGTTTCTGCCAGCATGTTGACATCCTCAACGGTGGACCTTTCTGGAAATCTTCAACCTAGTTATCTTATCAGTGGCTACTTTGCAAGTCTCCACTCAGAATGCTCCAAACGAGGGCATTTGTGGAACCTCCCTTGGGGCCATCCTAATGGTGAGATCATTTCAGAGCCCTTCAGCTGCAGTGGTCACTCTGGGACTTCCCAACAGCCGACCCTCATGCAAAGGGTGCCTCTGCATCCTTTGTATTTGAAACAATGGCCCCTCTCACCCTGGATCCTCTAACGACTGGTATTTCTGGAACTTTCCAACCATGGCCATTCTGAGCAAGTGGAAATGTTCCCACTCACCAGTGCCCAGGGGTCTCCGAGGTCCCGGTACTGCAGCTGGTACCACAGCTTGCCTCTCAGTGCATAGAAGGCAGGGTCCTCGTAATCAGAGCGCCAGGAGACGTTATAGTGTCCCGAGAAGGTCACGGTCACATTGTAAGGTGGAGCTGGTTTGACTTCAAGGAAAAAGCCAAAAAGAAAACGGATGAGACTCGGGCCCCATCCTTGACAACATCAGGATTAGTGCTGAGTGACAGAGTGCCAAGCACTCCTGCCCCTGGGCCTTGGTTTACTTAGACTACATCTGGGTACAAGCTCAGGGGCGGGCAGACGACAGCAACCCTGAAGTAGGTTTGGGATGTGTGGAAAAATATAGGGCGCCCCCAAGGGTGCCTCAAGGGGACAGCCAGGACTCAGGCCCAGCCCATGCAGGGGAGCAAGAATGCAGACCAGAGTTTTCCATGTTTTCTAGAAAGAAAATTAAAACCCAACAAAACACAAAACCTAGAAGTCCTGATTATTGGGTGAAATCTCTCATTTGAAAGTTAACTTCTAATACCAACATTTTCTAAGCAACGTGTCTTGCTAGATCCATTCATTTTTTCATTTCAGTTCTAAGGGGAGGTATCCATGTCCAGGCGTGGAGGCCATGTGGTTTGTCATCCCAGCTCTCGGGAGACTGAGGCAGGAGGATTGGGAATTCAAGGCCCCCCCCTGGGGTCTGTAGCAAGACCCTATGTCAACGACACAAAGAAGGGGTGCCTTTTCCACCTTAGGCTGCAGCAGGACCACTTGTGTCTTATACTCACAAGAAGCTTCTGAGTCTCCCTTGGAGTCCCAAAAGGTCAGTTTGTTAATTTGACAAGTGCTGATCTGACTGAGGCCTGCCATGGCCAACTCTGTTCTAGGAGCCACCAGCACAGACTGCAGCAGGGGGCAAAGGCTGTGGCCCAAAGAACTAAGCCCAGAGGGAAAGGCACCACGCCTGACTGAGAGGTGACATCTTATGGGGACAGATTTGCTATAGTTGTTGGTTGGTCTGAGTTGTTGATGGGCCTTCTGGGCTGAAATCCTTCTGAATCCACCTGTCATCCAGGGCAGACTGAGGCCTGGGCTGGGTCCCTCGTGGCCTGGGCTGGGTGGTGAGGACGGGGCAAGGATCCAGATGAATTGGGAGACTTGCAGGGTGTGGGGGCTCAGAAGGAGGGTTGCTCGGTCCAGGAAGGTCCTGGAGAGAGAAACAAGCCCCTACCTGCCACCCCTCTGAGCCCTGCTGTCCTCAGGCCTTGGGAGAGAGGGGCTAGCGGGTGGCAAACCCTGATGTCCGTGACTGTCCCCCAACCCATGAGCCACAGGACCAGGGCAGAGGGCAGAGGGAGGAATGGGACACATTTCCTTCAGAAAGGTGGGGTGCACGTGTGGGTGACCTTGCCACACCTGGACCCACGTGGCTGTGAGTGGGTGAGTGTGAGTGAGTGTGAGAGGGGCCTTGGTGTCCCTGACATACAGGTAGTACCCTTCTACCCTCTGCTGCCTTTCTTAGGGGTTAAGGTCCACATCTAATATCAACCCATCACATTTGAGTGAAAAGTAGTGTGTCTAAAAGGCAGCTCTCTGAGGGCAGGCCGGCTCTCATGGAGTAGAGAGTGCCCTGGAGGGCAGGCAGTGTGGCGCCCAGCCCCACCTGCTTCTCCTCGCCCGGGGTCCAGGGTACTCACTGCTCTCAGCCAGCATAAAGCTGCCACACTCCTGGGAGTCACCAGACTGGTCCGTCATGTTGATACTAAAAATGTCGTCAGCCATGAAGGGGAACACATCCATGTGACATGTGTACCGGGCGTGGGTGGCGTTGTGGCTGGACCTGTGGAGGCTGCAGGAGATGACCTCGTCCTCCAGTTCTTCATGCTGGTCTTGCCTTCAAGGACAGAGTGGCCAGTCACGGATGGAGGCCAGGGGGCCAGGACAGGTGCCCAAAGCACAGGGTGGAGCTTGAGGTGGGACTGGGGCTCACCTGGACCAAGCAGCCCTTTCCCAGGATAGGGTCCGCTCCCTGGCAGCGTCCCGATTGGACTGCGTCCACCCTCAGCTTGCACACCTCGGAGGGACCAGGAACTCACTACCTCAACCTGGCAACCACTCTCAGCTTTGACATTTGGGCCATTCTTGCTTGGACAGAGCCTAAATCTGCCTGCCAGTTCCAATGACTGGACCGCTGTCCTGTGGGAAGGGGCTGAACATTTGGGGTCTCCTGCCCTCTTTCTTCATGTCTGACATCCACCAGATACCCATTAGAGCCTGGACCAGCGGCTGAGGCAAAAGCCACATGAACCTCATTCTGGGTAACCTTCAGGAAGCCAGTGAGACAAATGTTCTGACTTTTTAAATCGCACTGGGCAGAAGTGATGGGCCTTGAAGTATATATAGGAGTTCACCAGATACTTATTTCTCTGCCTACATGCTCAGTGTCTGAATATAACTGCACTCCAGGGCCAATATGAATACATGGACTCAGTTCTTTACTAAACTTACTGGAATATAAACTTCTGTTGAATAAATTCTTTCCACATCTCCAGCCTGGACCACTGCAATGGCTTCCTGGAGGTGTCCTTACCTTTCCCACTGCCCTTGAACTCTACACAGGGGATCTTTAAGCATCCTTGTCATCTTCTCTTAAAATTCTCCCAACGCTAACGTCTGGCCCCACCTCCCCCTTGCCATCTTTGATTATTATTCTCCCTAATTCTGGTTCCCCCAGCTCTGGTCACTCACCTCCTCACTTCTTCCAACTCACCAGCTCTGCCCCCTCGGGGCTTTGCATTGCGTGTCTGCTGAAAGCCCAGCTCATTGGCTGCCTCTTCCCACCCAGAAAGGCCCCCAATAGCCATCCAGAGCCTCGCTGTCACCAGGAGCACCTCTGCTTGTCAAGCTGTGTTTATTGCCCCCCCACCCCACACTGCCCCTCTGCACCTGCTCCAAGACACCTGGGGCCTCTTTGTCACTGAGCCCTGCTGGCCCCTGTACCTACAACATAACATGCCTGGCAGGAACTTGACTCAGTGGATACGGAAGGAAAGGTTCTTTATCCTGAGCTGAGCCTGGGCTCAGGAGAACACACTGTTTGTGTGACCTTGACGCTCATCTGGAAAATGGAGGAACAGCTGTGAGGGTGAGGGTGGGAAGTGATGGATCCTCCATGTAAGGTAGGGGGCAGAGGCCTGGCACCCACTAGGCACTTGGAGGATCCTGTGGCAGGACAGCCCAAGGTCCCAAAGCCACAGTCAGCCTGCAGGGGGAGAGAGAGCTGCCCTGGGGCTCCCAGTTAGGTACTCTTGGCAACTCCTGTGACCTGCATGCTTGCCTGTGAGTGGGCGCCATGGCTTCTGGCTCAGAGTCTAGCATGACATCGCTGAGCAAGTCCCCGAGAAGTGGCTGCTGTTTTGTTTATTGCTAAACTTCCTGGGTAGCACACAGTAGGTCAGTCCCTCCTCAGTCCTCCAGGCTCCCTGGGACATCCCCAGGGCCAGCAGAGTCCAGCCACTTACCAGGTGAGGGTGAGTGTGCGGGGGTGGGGGGTCCACGTTTCCAGGACACAGGTGACCGTCCAGAGGTAATCGGTGTAGCAGGAGAGGTCTGGGCAGCCCCAGCCTGGAGGGGTGGGAGAGACGCCTTGGTAGGGGGCTGGCTGGGGGGCTGGACCAGCCGGGGCAGACTCTCAGGGATGGCACAAATGAGGATGAGGGGCCTAAGACTGGGGCACAGCGGTCTTTGTCACCTGTAAGTGCCAACGTTTCAAGGCTACTATGGAGATGAGGCACTCCTGACTGTGAAATAGAGTAACTAAGCTGTCTCCACCTGACATCACCCTAGGACCTGATATCTGGTCACCAGGTTGCGGTTCCTCCTTCAGGACATCCTAGGCAGGGTGGTACATCTTGACTCCCCAGCGGCAGGTGGATGGAGCCAGCACAAACCTGCACATCTCTCAAGAGGACCAGGATCCCACAAGGCCACCAAGAGCCAGGCTGATGCTGCCCGACCCCCTGAGGAGGGGGAGCCCGAGAGGTGCCACAGGACCAGGCTGGTGAAGTGGGAAGAACTTGTAGGAGGAAGAACGTGGGAGAACGAGATGGCTTTGCACACGTGCAGATCTGCATTCTCCTAGCACCACTGCCACCAAGAGGTCCAACCCAGCACCCTCTTATCAGGTGACCTCTACCTCCAAAAGGCTCCCTACGCCCTCCGTTCTAAATCCCAGTGCAACCTTTGCTGAACTTTGCTTCAGTGTTTGACAAACGTGATTGTTTCACATTTGCTTTGTGAAGTCACATGCTGATCTCTCCCACCATTTACTAGAAACTTGTTCCCCTTTTCAGTGGATTTGTTTTCAATGGCCTCTTCCTACTTTTCCCTGACTAATGAACAACCACAAGGGGGTGGCGCTTTCCCTTCCTGGGTGTCACCCTGGGTCCCCGAGAACCGTTTTTTGCTGGTGGCATCTTTCATCCCTGCTGTACAGATGAGAACACTGGGGTTCCCAGGCTAGACCACAGCTCTTGGGTCTCCCTTGGTCTGGGCTGCTGAGATTCGCACCCAGGACAGGCTGAGCTTAGCCCAGGCCGTTCTTCCTGTACCCCATCCACATGTGTGGCAGACACTGCCAATGTGTCACAGCACTTTGTCCCCACAGCCTCAGAGTCCTTCTCAACACAGTTCCCCAGGCAGCTTCTCCTCGGGGCCGAGGGTGGAAACAGATTTGTTCCAGGAAGGGCCTCCTTGGGAACTCATGGGGCAAGTCAGGGGATCAGGGGGCAAGTCCAAGCACTCAGCTGATGTGGGCAGCCTCAGGCTGCAGAACTCACCAGTGACCATGTCTTCTCTGGTCTTTTGGTTTTTGTTTTTCTTTTTTGGTGGTACTGGGATTTGAACTTGAGGCCTCATTCTTGTTAGACAGGTGCTCTGCCACTTGAGCCACTCCACCAGCCCTTTTTTATGATGGTTTTTTTTTCGACATAGGGTCTCGGGAACTATTTCCCCAGGGCTGGCTTTGAACCGCGATCTGATCTCTGCCTCTTAAGTAGCTGGGATTACAGGCATGAGCCACCAGTGCCCAGCTTCTCTAAGTTTAGAATCTTGCCTGGTGGGAATCCAGGGACAGGAAGAGGAGCTACTATCCCTAGCCAGGCTCAAGGTACCAAGGGACAGCTTGGATTGATTGATTGATTGATTGATTGATTTTTTTGGGTGGGGGGAGGTGCTTGGAGTGGATCCCAGGGCCTCATGCATGCTAGGCAAGCTCTCTACTACTGAGTTACACCCCAGCTCTTGTCCCCAAATACAGTGGACCTCAGCAGCCACTGAGGTGGCCTTGCGGGTGACAGGGTGTGAGCAAGCCACTCAGTCCCAGTCCCCTGGCAACAACCCATGTGCCCAGGAAGCAGCCAAGGTCCACGAGCAGCCGTGCCCATTCCTAGCACAGTGACAGTGGACACAGGACTCAACCTGCTCCCTGTCTCATAAGCAGCAGATGCTGGTGCCCCCAGGTGTTCTGAGGTCACACCTAGCCTGCCCACGCTGCCTGCAGGTGGAGTCAGTAATAGCTGCAAGGCAGGTGATAGGGCTGTGGGAAGGCTTGGGTGTTTGTGTCTTCCCCACGCACGTGTTGGGCCTCTGTCCTCCTTGAGTTAGTGTTAAGAGGACGGTCCATTCTGGGGTAGTGAAACCATGAGACAAGATCACCCAGACTGGATTAGCAGCTCCTATAAGTGGGAGGGACCCAGTGTTGACCCCTCCTCCGTGGAAGACACACAGCGTGCTGGGCACTATATTAGAAGTAGAGGCTGGACCTCACTTGACCTTGAACCTGCAGCCTCAGAACTGGGAAGTGCACATGTCTGTTGCTTACATTTTGTTTTAGCAGCACAGTGAAACCAAGTCAGGCCAGGAAAGCCAGGTGTGGCTCCCAGCTCTGCCTTTCTCCCACTGTGTGTCTGTGGGCTTGCTCTCATCCTTCCTGAGCCTAGGTTTCTCAACTGAAATCCGGGCATTTTGCAGTGTGGACCTTGAGGGGCTGTTGGGAGGACCTGGTGAGATGGTGCTCAGGGTTCAAAAGACAGCAGGGGCTTCGTATCCATTCCCAGGGTGCAGAGCCAAGGTGGGACCAGAACCAGCACACCTGGTGTGCTGCTCACCACGCAGAAAGGGAAAAGAATATCCCACCATCTGTTACTGGCAGGAGCTATTTGAGGCGTTGGGTCTTTTGGTAAAAACCAGAACAAATGGTCCTGAGTCAGCAGAGCGTGGTCCAGTTCCCCTCTGCGCCCTCTGAATGCCGCCTCCTGTGGGAAGGGCTCTCAGCCCTGGGCGGCATGCCCTCCACAGGGTTCCTGGCTTGCCAGCTCTCATCTCTGCCACCTTGGCCCTCCAAGGGTCGCCTGCAGGGCCTCAGCAAATTTGTCTCCGTCTCCCTTTCCTGTAAGGGGCCGGGAGTGGAGCACCAGGGCTTACCAGTGATTATAAAAAAAACAGAAGTTAGACTAAAGACAGGGCTTCCTCCTGCTGAGAGCTGGGAGCCAGCCAAGGCAGACAGCTGTCTGTGGAAAGAAAGGAAGGCTGGCATATCTTGTCTTCCCGGGGGAGGTCAAGACTCAAGCCCATGGCGACCTGAGACTCCTGTGTCCCACTCTAAATGGAGCTCTTTGATTGTCTGGGTGTTGTATCTGTGTCAAGTGGATGGGGCCATAGATTCTGGGTCACTGTCCTCTAGCCCTTTCCAGAGCCCTTAAGGTCAGCCTGGCCCCTGCTCAGCTTTGCCGGGGTGGATGGTGGGAGTAAAAGGGAGCCCTGCCCACCCTCAAACCACGGGGCAGCTACTTACCACCCTGGAGCACGAGCAGGAACACGGGTGCTGCCCAGCCACGCTGCATGCTGGGTCCCCGAGCCTATGAGAGACACAGCACGAGGGTGAGTCCAGCCTCCTTCCTCCTCAGCCTCTCTGGGCAGACTTGTTGCAGTCTCGTGTCTGTCTCCAAAACCAAGAGTCTGGGGCCCCGTGGAGGACACCCAGGGATTTCTGCCCCTTCAAAATGTCTGCTTCCCTCCGCTTGTTTCTTCCATTTTCTTCCTGCCCCCTTGGCACAGACATGATTTAGGGGCTGGCTTCCTCCATGCTCTACAGAGCGGGCCCTGGATCCAGGCCTGGCTAAACCAAGGATCCCACTTCTGAGAAAGCACCCTGGCCAGCCACAGGGATTAGAAGAGGGGATGGACATGAATCCAGGTGAGGCTAATGAGAGCCTGCCCATTGGCCAGGGATTCTCTCTCTCTCATTCTCATTCTCATTCTCATTCTCTCTCTCTCTCTCTCTCTCTCTCTCTTTCTGAAAATACTGGGGTATAGCTATCCAGGGTCTCCACAGCAGCATTTGAGAAACTGGATGCAGCCATAACTGATGTCCACTTCTGGACCATTCGTTTACTTGAACCAAAAAACTCTTTTGCTCCACTGTGCTGAATTCTATTTCTGCTGCTTGCCACCAAAGGTACCTGGTAAAGGAAAGGAGGAAAGGGCCCAGAATCTAAGCCCGAGGCCCTTCTCTGACACCTCCTGCTTTCTGACCTCAGTTACCGTCTCTGAAATGGGAGCAATTCTACACCTGTGCCTGGCTGCAGGGAAGTCAGCACGTGGGGCAGCAGATGTGCAGTGTTTGCAAGCTGTAACAGCTGTCCTGGGGCACAGGTCCCACCCCTGCTGGCCAGCTGCCCTGACTAACACCCCCATCTCCCAAGCACCCAGGCCCATTGTGCCTCCACCTTTGCACAGGCCAGGCCTCTCCCTGAACAACCAGCCCCTCCCATCTCTCAGACACTACCTTCTTGGCTCTCCTGCTCCATCCCTGACACCAGGCTAGAATGTTCCAGAAGTCCTGATGCCCACTTCTCACCTCCAGGGTTCTCACAGTTCTGTTATCTACCTGCTATTTATCTTTATCTTGTCTCTTATTATTTTTTTTTTTTTGCTCCAACAATGTGTATCAGAAGAAAATATGGTAGCACTGTGTTTTGTCTCTAACAGCAACAGCTAATGAGGATGAAACAGAGAGGCACTGGGTACCATGCTGGGTAACACACATGCAGAGCCGGCCTGCCTCGGTTCAGTTCCCAGCACTGACAGCTGTGGACTTAGGGCAGTTACCAAACTTGCTGGGCCCCAGGGCTGCTATAAAGTGGAGATAATAATGACAGTCCTTGGAGGAATTTGTCAATACTTGTAAAGCATTTGGAACAGTGTCAGGCATATAGTAGACGAGAGGTAAGTTTCTTAAACAAAACAATCAACTTACCATAAAACTAAGTGGAATGCAGGTGCAGTGGCCTAAACCTGTAACTCTAGCTACTCAGAAGGTGGAGATCAGGAGGATTACCATTTGAGATTAGCAAATGCTTCTCTGTCACCCCCTCCTTATACTCCACCAGCACCATGTGGGACTCATCCATCCCTCTGCCCCCTCTGCCAGAAGCCACCTGTCTGTGGGTTCCCACTTAGGCACCAGCCACCTGCACCCCAGATGCGGACCCCACCACCAGGTGTGGTTCCTAAAAGGAAGGACAAAGTCATCTTCTTGCTACCCTTCAGCATTCCACCTCTATAGAGGGGTGACAAGTACCCAAGGCCACCACATCCTGCCTTGTGTCCTCTGATTGGGTTTCCTCATGAGTCTTTGCTGCATCCCTGCATGGGACCCCTGCAGGAATGCCTGTCCACCAGAATCCGGGGCTGAGGAATGGTTCGGGAGTTGTAAGCATTCAGACCAAAAGTTGGACAGACTCGAGGAAATTCTGGATAAGTTTAGGAAATCAGACAGTTAATGCTGCAGATTATCTAAAGTGCGTAATTTCACGGTGAACAGAGAGATGCAAATAAAAACCACAAGGATGTGCTACCTACATTTTATCAGATTGCAAAAACTGAGTCTGACAGTCACATGCTGCTGAGGGGATGACACAACGAGACTCATTCATAGGCAGGGGAGATGCAAATTAGTACATTCTGGAAAGTAGCTTGATACTGCCCAATCAGTGTCACTCCTGTGACACACTGAAGAAACTCATCATGGACAAGCAAGAAGTGTTTACAGCAGCCCTGATTTAATGGTGAGCAATTAGAAACAACCCGTCATCACGGGAATGGGAAAAAAGAAGTTGTGATACAATGGCTCAATGTGAAAATGAATCACTCACCACTTCACAGAACAAAGCAAGGGCTCACACACACAAGCTGTGAGTGGAGAAAGTAAGTTATCCAAACATGGTGGTCACACCTGTAATACCAGCCCTGGGAGGCTGAGGCAGGAGACTTACAAGTTCAAGGTCAGCCTGAACTACTGAGGCCCTGTCTCAAAACAAAACAACAACAAAAAAGTAGTTAGAAAAGAGCCAATGCATAATAAAACCATCTATGTTGCACTTAAAGCCACACAAAACAATTCTATGTATTGTTTAAATGAACATACATGTGTCATAAAGAAATTGGGGACTGGGCGCCATCTGCTCGCGCCTGTAATCCTAGCTACTCAGGAGGCAGAGATCAGGATGATTGCAGTTCAAAGCCATCCTGGGCAAAAAGTTCTAGAGACCCTATCTCAAAATAAATAAATAAATAAATAAATCACAAAAAAGGACTGGTGGAGTGGCTCAAGGTGAAGGCCCTGAGTTCAAACCCCAGTATAATAATAACAATGTATACACATATAAATAAATATAAAAATGATAAAATAAAATTAATATTAAAAAAGAAAAGAAAGTTGGGAAAATGGCAAATGGCAAATTTTGAATAGTGTAGAAAAGGAGGAAATAAGAGAAGGGGGACTCAGGAGTCTCAACAGTTTGGCAACGCTGGGCAAAAGCACTATGAGTATGTTATTACTTATGCCTTTTGTATGTCCAAACTAACATTTGAAATGAAAGCAAATCTTAGTTTTGTAAAATGAAAAATGTGGAGAGAGCACATCCACTTTTGGCCATGATGGCATCACTGGTATCTGACTATTCTCCCTGCTAAGAACAAATGCTAAACAGGAAATAAAAAAGACTCAGGAGAGCAACCCAGTTATATAGTACTTGGCAGGAAGAAAGTCACTGAAAGTTTGTAAGCAATCCCTCTGATGATTTACCAAGTCACTGAAAAGAAGAAGTCTAATATACAGCACCTGATATTAGGATGAAGGCTACAAGATGATTTGGGCAGCTTTGCAGTATGAGGGAAGAATTGGGGCTCAGGGTCTGGCAAGAAAGATGGTAAGCATTCAAAAAAGCTACACCTTGGGAAGAAGGAAAAGTCAAGCACAGTTCAGACTTGACCACATCAAGGAGATCTTCCTATATGCTATGCATGTTAAAACAAAATGAATTTCTATCTGGAAAAAGCTAGCTTTATCCAAAGCCTCTATATTTTTTATGCATAATGCTTAGTGGTCAATTAAAATTACAAGGCAGACTAGGAGGCACAACCAAATGATCAACAACCAAGAGGGAAAAAAGACAATAGAAATGGATGCATAGGTGATTCAAGTGGTAGAGTGCCTGCCTAGCAAGAATGAGGATCTGTGTTCAAATCCCAGTATAAGCAAAAAAAGTAAAAAGAAACATCAGAAGAAAGTATTAATGAACTGAAAGATTGCTCACCAGAAAACACCCAGATTGAAGCATGCAGAAGGAAAAAAATTTCAAAAACACAGAAAAGTGAAAAAGACACATATGGAATATTGCAGAAAAAACATATATATATTTGGAGTTAAGACAGAGAGGGGAGAGAACCAGTCAAAAGTCATAGTAGAGTTATTGGTCAAGGACACCAAACCACAGATTTTAAAAGCTCGTCAATTCCCAAAAAGGATAACTACAAAGAAAACCACATCTAAGCTCATAGAAAAACCATTTTTAAAAATAAAAGGCAAAAATATATTGAAACACTGGTCCGGCAGGGTGGCTTACACCTCTAATCCTAGCTACTCAGGAGGTGGAGATCAGGAGGATTGTGGTCCGAGGCCATCCCAGGCAAAAAGTTAAAGAGACACCATCTCAACCAACGAGCTGGGCATGGTGGTTCCTGCCTGTCATGCCAGCTACACAAGAGGTATAGGTAGGAGATTCACAGATAAAGCCTGACCATGGGCCAAAACTCAAGAACCTACATGAAAAATAACTACAACTAAAAGGGCTAGATGCATGACTGATGTGGTAAAGTATCTGCCTAGCAAGCATGAGGCCCTGAGTTCAAACCCTAGTGCCACCAAAAATGAATAATTAAAACAAATAGTACTGGTGAAGCTGGATATTCCCATGCATGTGATAAAGCTAGATTACCACTTCACAACATGTAGAAAAATTAGCTCAAATGGATCAAAGATCTAGATACAACATGTAGAACTATAAGTCTTAAGACAAGGCTTTGGTATATATCTTCATGACCTTGTACTAGGCAGTAGTTTCTTCAATAACACATCAAAAGCAAGAAAAACTAGATATTTGGGACTTACCAAAATTTACAAGGTTTGTGCTTCATCAGACTCTGTTAGCAGAAAGAGAACCCAACGACAGGGAAAATATTTGCAAATTGCATTTAAAGATCTGGCACAAGGAATCCATAAACAGCTCTTGCCACTCAAATCAAAATGCCAAAGAACCCAATTTAAAAATGGGTAACAGATCTGGGTAACTATTTCCCCAAAGGAGATCCACAAATGACAAACACATAAGAAACTGCTTGCTATCATTAGTCATCAGGGGAATTCAAATAAAGACACCATGAGACACCACTTCTCACCCCTGGGATGGTTATCATAACATGAACAGCAACATTGACTGTGTGAAGGAGGAAAGGAGGACACAGGAAACCTTCTGCATTGTGTCAGATGGCACAGTCACTATGGAGAACAGTTGTG